CCCCGCCCCTTGGCTCTCCCGACGGCCGGGAGCTCCGCGAGCTGGCAGTGGGCGGGGATTCCCTAGACCCTGGAGGTTCAGCCCCTTCCACTCGCTGTCAGTGCGCCGAGCTTTGCCTGTGCGAAGGCTTCTACCGCAAACCTGCTTCCGGTTTCCTTCTAGTGGGTGCGAGCTGCAAATAAACTAGGGCTGCTACCCACCCTTCGTATTGGTTCTGCCCTTTGCCTCTCTTCCCCAGATGAGCTTTTGGCTGTCCATCCTTGTGGGTAGAGATGTGATGTTTTACACGTTGATTGTATTGGTGGGAGGAAAGCACTGGACTCGAACTTTCGATCCTCCTGCCTCAGCCTCCCAAAGTGCTGGGATTAACATACATATTAACACACATAATTAACATAGTGTGCCACTATGCCCAGCTAGGAGTAAACTTTATACAACTGACGGAGCAGAAGGAATCTGTCCACCTAAGGCTCCCTCTGCACCCAAAACACCTTCCTTCACCCATTTCCACCCTCAAAACAGGTGCACCTTTTCTTCAGAAAAGTTAATACCTTCACAAAACATGTACTATGCACTTTATAAGCACCAGGCACTGTTCTAGGCTCTGTGAATACAGCAGTAAACAAGACAAAAATCCCTACTTTCCTGGAGCTCATCTTTTAATTGAGGTATTGAATGTTAGAAGGCAGTAAGTGCTTTGGAGAAAGAGCAGGAAATGGACTCAGGGATTGGAGGGGAGAGGTGAATTTTTTATAGGGTGGTCAAGAAATGCATCAGGTGACTCTTAATCAAAGAGCTAAAAGAGGTGAGGAATGAGGCAAACACCGAAAGAATTCCAAGCAGGCAATATTGCAGGTGCAAAGGCCCTGAGGCAGAACAGATATGGAGGGTTGGAGAAACAGTGACCAGTGTGGTTGGGACAGAGTGAGCAGGGGAGAGAGTGACAGGACATGGGGGCTGGGAGGTAGGAAAAGCAGATTACACAAGGCCTTGTAGTCCTGGTGAAGACTGAATTTTACCATGGGTGAGATGGAACCGTGGAAGTGGCCTAAGCAGAGAAGGCCCATGATCTGACATGAAGTCCTTCCGGATGCACGTGGGACACAGACTGGGAGTAGGAGTGGGAACAGGAAGGCCAGGAAGTGGCCCACTGGAGTGGACCAGTGAGGAGGCAGTGATGGACAAGATTAGAGCGAGCAGGGGTGTCGGGAGCAATGCTACATAATTTTGGGGAAAAATCATTTGATTAGGCCTAGTTCTCCTGCCTACAGGCCAGCTATGGCATTTTGAGACATAATTCCAGTTTGGCCCCGGTCACAACTGAAACCTCAATGATCCGGTGATGCTGTGATGCTCCAGGACAAGATTATACCAGCTGAAGACATCCTGGGAGGAACAAAAATCTTCATCTACTCAGTTCCTCATTGTTCTTGGATTGTTACATGTTGTTTACACGGATGTACTGAACTCTCTGTCCTGATGTACTGAATAAAAGGTGCGGCAAGCTCAGGGGCTTTTGTCTTTGCCGCCCAGAGCAGCATTGATCAGACCCAAAGGTCAGCTTCTTCTCAAAGTCTCATTTTTCTACCTTTCCTGTATAATTTAATTCACCTTGTGCTGCAGTGGCTCGCAGGAGACTAGGACTTACTGCAGAAGCTCTAGTAACATCCCCTTTCCTTGTTCCCTACACAGGGGCAGAGGGTGTGATGAAGAATGAGTAGATTCTGCATAAGCATGGAGAATTTTTCGCTTTGTAATATTAAAATATTAATATTCATCCATGTATTTCATCTGCAACTTAAAGCAGAAGTGCTACTATGAGAAATTACTGAAAACCTTCAGGCTACAAGTCTGTAGCCAAGATATGGAGTGTGTCCCTGTCACTGCTGTAACCCTCTGGCCTAGCACAGGCCTGGGGGAGCTCAGTAAATGGTTATTGGGTAAGTGGATGAACCAGTACTGTTTTGAGTTCTCTGTGAGGATATCCTAGCTGCACAATGCCATCAATTCACACAGGAACATTCCTGGATTGTGTTTAGACATTAGGATGAAGAATCTGTTTAAACTTTTAAAAGTATAGGATGAAGTGGTTGACTGTATTCTGGGTTTCTAGGAGCTGTGCAATAATTCAAATGAGTCTGATTCAGGATAAAATTACCTATTTCCTGTGGATTATACCATTGGCCTTCTTTTTTGTTTTTTTTTTCCTTTCAGTATTGGAGATTGAACCCAGGACACTACCGCTGAGCTACATCCCCATCCCTTTTTATTTTTTATTTCAAGACATGGTCTCGCTAAGTTGCCATCATTGGCCTTGAACATGTGATCCTCCTACCTCAGCCTCCTGAGTAGCTGAGATTACAGGCATGTGCCACCATACTGCACTAATTTTTTTCAGGGACAAAAATACTCAGAGTACAGTGTGAATTTGGGTTGCCGGCCCTATTTCTTGGAATCCTGGCAGCATCTTCTGGTTCTGAGGTATTTCATCTGCCAGCTTGCTCTGCAGACCTGAAATTGGCATTGTCAATGAGTACTCAGTGAGTGCCTGCTGTTCTTGTGCTGGAACACAATTAGGGTTGAAATAGACCCAGGCCTTGCCTCCTGCAGGTGCCAGTCCAGTGGAGGAGACAGACTGACCCACACCGTGGAGGTCCATAATGGTTGGGGCCAGGCTGAGGAAGGTGCAGGCAGACAGGGCAGGGCTGGGAAGCACTCGGGACTTTCCCTGACAGTGCACATCTCTTCAGTGCCCTCAGAAGCTTCCTTTTGACTTCCTGCCAACCACCATCTGCTCTCCCCTGAAGACACCGCCCTTCTGAGTAGACAGTTTACTCCTCTTCTGCCCCCTTGCCCACAGGATCTGCAAATGGGATAAGATCTTCCTTGCTCTCCCATCCCACTTCTAATACCTTCTTTCTGCCCCCTCCCTAAACCTCAAACTTTGAAGCTTACACAGTCACAAAGTAACAACCACTCCCATTTTTGTTGCCAGCTCTGTCAACTCTCAGCTCACTTCTGCTCTCTGTAATTTTAACTCTGGGGTCCCTGCTCCCCGCACTGCTTCTATCGTTATTCTCCGTGAATTCCAAATTCAAGTTGACTATCTTTTGACCATTCCTCTCCTCCAGTGGCCTTGACCTCCACCCAGCCTTTCCCTCCCATGGTCACACTTAGACCCAGTGCTGGAGACACAGGGGTGACTGTGATAATCCCAGAGGTCTCAGCCTGCTGGGAGAGAAAGACCCACATCCTGAGAGTGATAGCTCCAAAACTGCAGCCTCTACAGCATCTTGTGTTGCGGTTTATATCTAGATGACCCCCCTACAAAGCCTCATGCACTCACAGGCCGGGATTTGGGGAGGTGATTGGTTCATGGGGGATTAGTCCACTGATGAGTTTATAGCTAAATGTGGTGAATGTGATTTGGGAGGTGAAGCCTGGCTGACGGAGAAGGGCCACTGGGGACGAGACCTGGAAGAGCGTATCTCCCTCTCTTCCCTTGATAGCGCTCTGCTTCCACCGCTGTGTCATGAGCTGCCTCCTCTGCCATGCTACCCTGCCTTTGGCGCCAACAGACTGTGGATTGAAACCTCTACAAACTGTGAGCCAAAATAAACCTTTCCTCCTTAGAGTTGTGCATGTTGGGTATTGTGTCTCAGTGACCAGTAAGTAACAGACATCTCAGTTCCGTGCATCTCATTTTCTACCCTTCACCTTTTATGTCCCTACCTCAGTTTCTCTAAAACGAATGTTCCGATGAGCTGTCAGCCCCAACAATCCCCTAAGCTGACCACCCCTGCACCCATCCCTCACCCCTTCGTGACCACACTACCCTCACCCTCCAGCCAGACTCCCTACCCACCATTGTCACCACACCTTTGCTCACGTCTTCAAACTCTGACTCCACCTTTCTGCTTACTCTGTTCCAGCATCCTGGCAACTGTTGTAGATGGTGAAAGACACATAACCACTCTGGCTGGTTTGTTAAAAAAAAACTCCTCGAAAAAATTGTCTATACTTACTGTCTTCACTTTTCATTTTTCTCTTTAAATCAGATTTCCACCTGCATCACTCCACCAAAATGTCACTAATGACCTCCATGTTGCTAAAGCCAAATGGCACATTTTCTGTCCTCATCTTAATTATTATCATCAGCATCTGAAACTCTTTCCTGTTTAATTAATATGCTCTTTCATCTAGCTTTCAGCACCTCCTCTTATGGTCAGGATCTAAAATATCCCCCCAAAGCCTCATTGTGTTGAAGGGCTGATGGCCAGTGATGGGATTTGAGGAACTGAGTGGATTTGGGGGCCCTTGCCCTGCTTTCTGCTTCTGGATGCCAGGAGGTGGGCAGCTTTCTTTTGCCACGCCCTTCAGCCATGATGTTCCTGGCTTGGAGCCAGCCAACCATGGACTGGAGCCTCTGAAACCGTGAGCCAAGTAAATCCTTCCTCCTTTAAATTGTGTGTATCAGGTGTTTTGTCCTAGCAACAGAGATCTGACCCCCTATGGCAAACCTTTTAGGCCTTTCAGTGATAACAGCCCTCTGTGGCACACGTGCCATGGGGTCAGCACCACTGTCTATGTTCTCCTAGTGCCCTCTCTGTTCTATATTTTTATTTTTTTTACTGGATTAACACACTAAATCTTTATTCCAATTCTATGAGATAAACACTCATCATTAATTTCACTTTAAAGACAAGGAAACTAAATCAGAAATGTAGTAACTTGCTAGGATTATAAATGCTAAATCCATAATCAATAGCTTGCTCTCTGTCTCCATCTTCCATCTCTTCCCTTCATCCAAGCATTCGTCTTCTCATCCATCCATTCCTCTAATCCATTTCTGCACCTTCTTATTTCCCCAGGCCCCCTTTCCCCAATCCAACCACCTGTTTCTTCATGTTTCCTCCCTTACCCAATGAATATTCATCATGTGCCCAACACCTAGCTGTATGGGGAGGAAAATGGAGGATGAAAGGCATGAAACTAACACACTGGCATGCAGCTTGGCTTTATTCAATGCTGTCACATTCAGCCTCAGTGGCTCAGCAAAGGAGTAGAGCAGGGTAGGGGTACACAGTGCATCCTTCAACCATTGTAACCTCCAAGGTGTCAGGTCTTGAAGTCTTCACTCCTGGTGGATGACTGATCAGTTGTGGCTGCAAGAGACAGACAGCACCTCTTGAGGACTGAGCACCCACACACAATGCCCCGTTCCCGTGAGGATCCAGGTAGGTGCCCCTGCCCCAAGGAGCCTGGCTTCCACACCACATTCCTCACCATGGGGAGAAGTCTGGTGCTTTCCATTTCTCCATCACTGTTTCCCCCTGGGAATCATCCAAGTCATTAGTACGGTCTCCATCAAAGTTTCCACAGGCTCCACATAGCATGCCAGCATGGTCATCACCGACCATCACATCCAGATGCCCATCACTTCCCAGCCGCACTTGGACCCCTTCCTTCTGGTGGACTAGTATGGAACCATCAGAACCCCGTTTGACCGACACAGATGTTAGCACTTCAGCTGGGAGGCCCACTCGTAGACCATTCACCTGGTGGTAGGAAACAGGCAAAGAGGTGAGGCCCAGAGCTACAGAATAGCTGAGGTATTCCCAGCAAGGAGACTGTTATGGCTTGTATCTAGATGTCCTCCCAAAGCCTCATGTAGTCATAGGTAGGGGGTTTCAAAGGTGGCTGATGCTTGTGTTGATGGTATATGATGCTTCTGTTATGGATGTGATGCTGGGGTTAAGGGTGAGATGCTGGGATTAAGGGTGCCCCACCCTGGGTGCAGGTGGCACCACCCAAAAGCTAGGTAGCCTGGATGGAATATAAAGGAACAGAAAGAAGCTGCTTCGCTACTTTGCCGTTTTGCTCCCCTGTGCCTCCTCAGCTTTGCCATGGAATCTTTCTCCTCTTCCATTACCACCCTGCCTTGGAGTTAGCCAACTGCAGACTGAAACCTCTACAAACTTTAGGCTAAAAGAAACCTTTCCTCCTTTAACTTTGGGTGTCGAATATTTTGTCTCAGCGATGAGAAAAGTATCTAAGACAGAGACCCCCAAGCAGAATAATGAGTTCAAGGATCTGAAGCAAAGAAGCAGGTGCTGAAAGAGGTGAACACCTGGAGAGGTGCACTATGTGGGGGATGGATAGATAAGAAGACAGCTGGGCTGGGGATTTAGCTCAGCGATACTGTGCCCCTACCTCACAAGCACAAGGTCCTGAGTTCGATCCCTGGTACCAAAAAAAAAAAAAAAGGAAGACAGCTGGAGATTTGGGTATACACATAGTTTACTGTGGCAAGTATATTCCCATTGTGTGGCTACTCCCAAATAAACCTATTAATCTTTGGAGACTCTCTCTGTTATTTAGGTTAACAATAGATAGATGCATAGAGGAGGGAGGGAGAGAGAGAGAGAGACAGAGAGAGAGACAGAGAGAGAGGGTCAACATGCCAAGATCAGAGGAGAAAAGCCATTGTACTTGACAGATAAACAATCAAACCCCAGGCTCTTTTTTGGTCCTAGTTTTCAAAATAAAAGAACTCTTGAGTATGTCCTGTAAGTTACTGGCTCCCTAACAAAAATGACCTTATCCCTTAGTTTTGTGATGCTGTTTGCCTGAAGGTAAGTAATGATCTTAGCAAATATAATAATCATGTGAGAACATTTGTTTCTTTATTATAGACTACAGACTTAGTAAATATGTGTTTTCTTTAAATAACTGTTGTCTGTTTCAGTTGGTGAGTTAATCTTTCTAATGTTAGAGTCTCTCTGAAACTTCTTTGAAAGAGATGACCTCTTCTGTCCGAATACTTTCGTATCTGAGTCTTCCTCTGCCAGATGATTGGAGACACAGACAAATAGGAAAGATAGATACAGATTTTAGAAGACAGATGGGTAGCTGGCTGGAAGGAAGGAAGGGAGGGAGGGAAGAAGGGGGAAAAGGAAGGAAGAAAGGGAGGAAAAATAAAGAGAGGTGGAAAATAAATCCTGGAAGGAAGGGAAAGGGAAGGATGGATGCAGTGAAAGATAAGTGAAGACTCAGTGCATAGAAAGTCTTACCGGATGCAAGCTTTTCAAGTATAAGAACTGGCTTTGAGTCATCACTGTTACCTAGCACATAGTCTGGCACAGAAGGACCAGGGCTGAGTTTATTCATAAGGCCAAACTTTTCCTTTTATCCTCTTGCTGCCAGGCCCTGGTCCGGGTATTAGAAATAGGGGGAGTTGAGATGGTGACCTTGCTCATCCTTACATTCTAACGATGGAGAAAGGTGCCAAACCCCTTCTGGGAGATTCCTTCTGCAAATCTAAAATTTTGATACGTGCTAGGCAGAGGGTTCCTATGTGACCAGCTCCCAGTGAAAGCCCTGAGCACTGAGACGTGAATGAACTTCTGTGGTAGACAACATTTTATAGGGTTTTTGTTTTGGTTTGGTTGGTTTGGTTTTTTTCACTTGTTTGTTGTGATACTGAGGTTTGAACCTAAGGCCTTCACACTGAGCTATATCCCCAGCCCTTTTCTAGTTTTTGTAATTTGAGACAGACTCTTGCTAAGTTGCCCAGGCTGGGCTCAAATTTACAATCCTCCTTCTTTAGCCTCCCAAAGTACTGGGATTACAGGTGAGTGACACCACACATGGCTCATTTCACAGGTTTTGTCACAATTTACTATTGCTTGAGGAATTAAGCACATCCTATGTGATTCCACAAGAAGAGGATTCATGGCAGCTTGTGTCTGGATTCCTCTGGATTTTGCTTGACTCATCTTTCCCTAATGATGATTTTGCTTAGTATCTTTCATTGTAATAATTCTTAGTTTAAGTACAGCTGAGTCCTCCTTGTGAATCATGGAACATGGGAATGGTCTTGAGGAACCCTGACACATCAGGTGACCCCAGTCTGACCAATCACCACATTCCATCCCTAAGACCACAGTGATTGGTTCTAGCAGTGGGCATGTGATCCAAGCTAGCCCAGTGAGATAAGATCTTAGACCTTTGTTGGATCACTGTCTGCTAAGTAGATTAGCTGGTGGAGTGTAGGGCTGGGGGAGCTGGCAAGTTGTCTTTGGCTCTCTGAGAGAAAAGCTTGTCTAAGAATGAAGGTGATTTGGTGAAGAAGTCTAAAAGGTAGAGTACAAATTCCTGATAATTTTGCTAGTACAACTAGGTCCAGCCACTCCTGAGGCTGTATCTTTGGATTTTCTAATTCTGTGAGACAATTCATTTTTGCTTAAGGCAGTTTGAATTTTGTTTTCTGTCACTTGCAACCAATGGAGTCTTGATTAATACTAATATCAAAACTATTAAGTTACTTGAGTATGTTTTTGCTTCTCAACAACTTTTTAGCCATGATGGTGCACGCCTGTAATCTCAACATTCAGGAGGCTGAGGCAGGAGGATCTGGAGTTCAAAGCCAGCTATAGAGGGAGATCCAGTCTAAAACATAGACCCCCTTAAAAACAACAACAACAACTCAGCCAGAACAGAGTGGCTTAGTCTGAAATATTGAAATATTGAGACAAATACAAATCTGGGGCCAAACTGCAGAGATCTGGATAAAGGAAACAGCAAGGCAGCCAGGAATGTAGGACCCTGAAATATAAAGAACAAAAGCCCAAGGGGAGACATCTCCCACCATGTCCCAGCTTACCCACATGCCCTTGTTTGCAGTCACAGTCACTATCCCATCCTGGAAGAAGATGTGGACCGTGCTCACGGCCTTGACATTGTTCTGGCAGGGCTGGACATCCGCAACCACACGGTACCAGGGGATGTTCTCCTGTACTCCTGGGCAGCGAGACGAGAACTCATAGGTGCCAGCGGAGCCAACAGCATGGTGGGCACCATCGAAGGTGGTGAGGTTGGCACCCACAGAGAGGGAACAGAGCCCACTGGCAGCCCGGCAGACCCAGGATCCTTCCTGGAGATCACAGACTTGGCCTTCTGGGCAACTGGCAGCCTGGCACGTCAGGCCAATGCTTGAGGAACACGAACAGCACTCACTGCAGTCCGCACTTAGCTGGGTGGAGTTCACCTGTGTGCAGAAAGGGCCCAGGTTGGGGTGGCCTAAGGGACTGCAGCCGTGGCCATACCTCCAACCCTCTGTTTCATGCAATGTGTTTTTGTTTTGTTTTTTCTGGTACTGAGGACAGAACCCGGTGCTCTTTGCCATGAGCCGCATCCTCAGCTCTATTTAAATTTTTTATTTCAAGACAGAATCTTGCTAAGTTGCCCAGGCTGGGCTTGAACCCGTGATCTTTCTGCCTCAGCCTCCCAGAGTGCTGGGATTACAGGCATGCGCCACCTGCCAACACCTCGACTTCAACCCAGGGATCCTCATTTCTGAGCTCTTGTCTCTAGAACTGTGGGAAATACATTTCTCTCATTTTAAGGTACTGAGTCTGGGATGATTTGTTACAGCAGCCACAGGAAACTAACACAAAGAGGTTAACTCACTCCAAATCCCACAGCTGGGACATGGTGGTGCCTCCTTTATCCCCATCCTTGAGCCCTCATCCCTTCCACCTGAGCCGCCCATGCTCACCGGCAAGTATCTGCCGTTATGGGTGCATCCGCAGTCTTGGACAGGGACGCAAACACCCTCGGAAAGCAGGAACCGGTCATCACACTCACAGCCCTCAAAGCAGCGAGTTGTGCAGCCCGTGAAGCCGGAGAGAGCCACACAGGAGTCCTGGCAGGAGTGTGTGCAGATGGAGTAGTGGCTATGGGCTGGGCACTCCAGCGCTGCAGAGAGAGGGAGCAGGGTGGGGTCACACCTCTGCGGGACACTGAGCACCTAATGGGAACTACTCCACCCAGTGCTGAGGACAAAAGCTGCGAGACATCCCAAGCCCTGTCCTGCAGAGCTCACATCCAGCAGGACACACAGCGACAGCCCAAAATGACCGTGCTGCAGCTGGGGAAGAACAGACAGAGGTTCGGGCTGAGATGGGGAGGTTTGGGCAGGCGGCTGGAGGTGGGACAAAGAAAATCAGAGGGTACCGGGGATTTAGCTCAGTGGCACCATGCCTGCCTCGAAAGCACAAGGTCCTGAGTTCAATACCCGGTACTAGAAAAAAAAAAGAAAGAAAATCAGAGGGCTAAGCAGTTGGTGTGGCTGGTGTGGCTGCTCTAAGATAGGCACCAGGGTAGGGGAGAGAAAGATTAATTTGGATGACACACTGACTTCATTGAGGATTGCAGCAGGTATGAGGGACACTTAGGACACCCAGGGAAAAGTGTCCCCGAGGCCACTTGACTCTGAGACTAACATGCAGGAGACAGATCAAGGCTGCAGCTGGAGAGTGTCCACTGTGGCACTGGGGACAGATCTGAGTCCGTGGGGTGGGTGACAGGCCTGGGTGTGGGCCCTACCCTAAGGAGACTGAAGGAAACATGGCTCTGCTCTGGGACATGAGGGGCCATTGCCTTGCCCTGAAGAGTCTGAGGGAACATGTCCCTATTTGGGAGAGGTGAAGAAGAGGAAATCCTCAATTGGGGGTCTAACGGCCGTGGCCTTGTTGGGGAGAGGGTGGACATGATCAGCTACAGATGCAGGCTTCTGTGTGAGTCTCAATCTGCCCAACCCTTCTTGTCAGAAAGAGTTAAAAAGAGTCCTAGGAAGAAGAGAACATGAGGTGTGGGCCCTGAAGGAGTCTGGGAAGGGACTGGGAGAGGGCAGGAGGGAATGATGGGAGCACAGAGCACATGATGGGAGCAGCATCACAGGGAAGGACAGAGAAGGACAGAGAAGGACGGAGTCAGGCATCCTCCAGAGCCCATGGACACTCACGGCAGAAGCTGTCTGTCCTCCAGGGCTTCACAGACCCACCAGCTGCCTGACAGGCGGCTGTGTAGGCTGCCAGGCTACGGCAGAGGAAGGCTTTGTCACCTTTTGCGGCACACTGGTCATACACACATTGGCGGAAGTATTCAGAGGGTTTCAACACATTGTGGCAGGTCGAGAAGGGGCCCTTCGGGTCCTGGAGCTGCCCACAGGCCTGGTTGCTCTCGTAGACGGCTGTCTCCTCTGCTAAACACACAGGGCATCCCTGGGGCCCACAGCCCTCGATACAGCCCTGGGAGGAGTCAGGCGCATGCCAGGCAGTTCCAAAGGCTTCCACACTGGGGGCCACATCACCATTGGGCAGGGTAAAGTCATCACTCCAATTGCCGTTAAAGTTTCCACAGAGGCCACAGATCCGCCCTTGGAAGGGGCTAGGGATGGATATGAGGACATGGGTGTCGCCATCAAAGAGAAGCCGCAGTCCCTTGGTTGTCTGCAGAACGATGTTTCGGCCTTCAGCAGTCACTTGCACACGGCCCACAGCCACAGGCAGAGTCACATCCTCACCGTCCACGGTGACCTGGATGGAAGGGCCAGAAGGTTTGGAAATCATGAGCCACAAGTAAGTCTGTCCCTTCCCCCACCCCACAGCATGAAACTGTGTCCTCAGATCCTCAGGACAGAGCTGTGTCTCCTTCAGTCTTGTTGGGGTGGGGCCCCGTTTCCTTCAAAATCCCCAGCATGGGGCCACGCCCTCTAGACTCCCAGGGTAGGGCCATTACCTCACACCCAGATCCTCCAGGCTGTGGCTGTGTAGACCTCTGGCCCATTAGGGTGAGGCTATGATCTTCAGAACCCCTGGGTGGACAAGGTTGTATCCCCCTCAGAACTCCCAGGTTTGGGCAATGTCCTCCTCAGACCGAGGGCAGGGGCCATGACTCCTTCAGAACCCTCTGCGTGGGCAGGGATGTGTTCCTCTCAAAAGCCCAGGGCAAGGTCACGTGCACCCACCTTCGGTCCTCCAGCCAGGCTCACAACCTGGTCAACCACAGTAACCAGCACCCTTTGAGGTTCTCCATCCTTGTTCTTCTCAAGCACGATGGAAAAGTCCTCTTCCCCAGGCTTTGGGTGGCAGACTTTGGCCAACACATAGGAGCATGAGCCATGCAGGTCATAGACACGTCCATCGAGAGTGATGTAGTGGATGCCCCCATTGGCCAGGCAGCGGCCACAGCCCGTGGGATGGCAGGCCTGAACGCCGTCCTCTGTCCGGCACTCTTCATGGGGGCCACAAGCCGCGCCCTCCTGGCAGGTGACCTGGCCACCTGGGCCACACTCACAGCGGCGCTCACACTCAGGGCCTGGGTAGAAGGCTGCACCCAGTAGGTAATAGCGGCCATCATGGAGGCAGCCACACTGGTCCACAGGCACACAAGTGCCACCACTGAGCACCAAGCCAGAATTACAGACACAGCCCTCTCGGCAAGTAGGCTCGCAGCCCTCGGGCTCGGAGAGGCTCGGGCAGCTGACAGGGCAGGAGTTACCGCAGAGCTCGTAGTGGCTGTTGACAGGGCACAGGAAGGCTGTGGGGAAGACAAAAGGGATGAGCCAGGCAGGTACAAGGGTGGGACACAGAGGGAGGCCCTGAGTAGGAAAGTCTGCCTGGGCTACCTTGCGTGTCTCTGGCAGGGTGTAGGAACCTGACCCGGAACACCGGATGGGGAGGTTCAGCATTGGATCTCAGGAATGTGTGTGTAGGGGGTTGAGCAACCAGGTCTGTGTTAGGGGTGTGTGTGTAGGGGGGTGCACAACCAGGTCTGGTGCACAACTAGGGTGTGTGTTATCCTGAGTGCTTCTGAAGATCGATGACTCTGCCTCATGAATGTAACCACATACTCCAGCCAGGATAGGCAGAACCTGAACCACTATGGGTATCTCTGAGTGTTACTGTCATGGGGGTGTTGGACCAGATATGGCGTGGAGTATCAATCTGCCTGAGAGTGCCTGGCTGTGGTATCTGATGTGACCTAGAGCATCCTCCAGTCTCCCTGACACAGTCCATTTCAGGGTGGGACTCTGACCATGTGGGTAATTGGCTGATGCTGATAGGAAGAGCTTGACCCAGGAGGTCTAATTAAAGAGAAATGCCCCATCCTATCTGACTATGAATCTGCTTTCATCTGCTTGGGGCTGTCTTTCTGATTCCATCTTGGTGACCAGTGTGTCTCAGGGTGTAATCTGACCAGATACCCCTGAAAGTAGATGGCCCATTCTGTGTGAGCAGGTACATCCCGATGTGTGGGAGAGTCCAGGAGCATCTGACGAGTGTAGCTCACTGACCGGGGGTTCCTTGCTGTTGACTTAGACAAGGTCAGCCACCAAGTCTACCTGACTCAGATATCTGAGTGTGTGACTCCCTCAGTGTGTACTGGACCAAGAGTTTGTGACCAGGTGTGTCTAATAGTCCCTCCCACTGCAGTACCTGGCCTGGTCCTTAGTGTGTGAATAACAAGGTGCTTTTCTGGCAGGAGATACAGGCTCAGGAGAAAGAGGATGGGCCCAAAGCTCTACAAAGGGAGGAATGCTCTTGTTTTAGAATCCTGGGAAAGGATGGTGCCCGCCCATCGTGAGGACCCTACACGAATCAGTACTCACGACAGAAGTCTAGCCGCCTCCACTCATCGAGTTGGGCCCCAGCAGCCTGGCAGGCTGCCACGTAGGCAGCCACTGCCGGACAGAGGCCTCCCAGATGGCCCTGGGCCTGGCAGGCATCCAGCAAACACCCCTTGAAGTAGTGTTCAGGTGAAACCAGGGTGTGGCAGGGTGCCAGTGGGCCGTCAGGGGCCGAAATCACGCCACAGGCATCAGGGCCGGCAAAGGACTCCTGCTCCTCCGGAGTGCAGGGGTCCGGACAAGGCCCCGGCACACACTCCTTGCAGTCCAGGGCGCCGCCCACCTGCCAGCCGCTGGGGTTCCCATCCACAGCAGTCAAGTCATCTGAGGGGTCCTTGTTGTAGTTACCACACAGGCCACAAAGGGCACCCGCATAAGCTGCTGGCACGTGCAGCTTCACGAAGCTGTTCCCGTCGAAAGACAGAGAGAGCCCGAAGTCGGTGGTCACCACCACATCACTGACGCTCAGGTATGCACGCAGGTTTGAGCCGAGGTTGAAAGGCAGCGCCACGAGCTCACCATCCACCTGTGGGCATGGGGAGGGCAATGGACAATAAGTGGTGTGGTTTGAATCCTGTCTCCATCACCTACTAGCTATGGGACCCTAAGCACATGACCTCTCCTCTTATAATACTGTAAGCATCTGTACACATAGTGTTTTTGGCCCTTAAACTACCCTTAAGCAGTTACTTTATGTCAACCCATTTTACAGAGGAATAAACCAAGGCTCAGGCAGTGGGTGGCTATTGTACCACGCATCGGACTCCTAAGACCAGCTTAATTATATCAACTTGATTGGCTTGGAAGCCACCTAGGGGATGGGTGGGGCACACTCTCGGTGCATCTGGGTAGGTCATGGAGCTATGACCTTGGGGTCTGTCTGGTCGCTGGTCCCCTCCTCTCTGGCACTGTTCCCCTGCACGGGTTCTAAACTAAGCATCTTTGCTCCCCCACACCCTTCCACCATGTCTCTGCCTTGAAGCCAGCTGACCATGGACTGAATTCCCTGAACCTGTGAGCCAAAATAAATCTCTCCTCCCTTAAATTATGGGTGTTGAATATTGAGTCTCAGCAACAGGACAGGTCCCTAATACGAGCCTATACTCTGAGAGCTTGTTTGGAGGTTCTAGCAGGGGGGCACAGCTACTCGCGTAGGCCTGACTGAGGAAATGGATTTCCTCTGTCAGGGGTGGTTGTTCTCTCCCACTGAGCGTGCAGCTCTGGGAGGGAAGCATATAGAGCGGTGAGGGAGAAAGGGACACCCGCCTAGCCAGCCAGATCAGCCAAACCAACCCTGGTGAGCAGTGAGGTGACAGGTGTCGCAGCCAGGTCGCCCTCACATCCACTATCTGAACCCCTCCACCATGCCTCTGCTAAGTTGTGGAAGGCCCTCTGGGGAATGGTTGACCCCTTGCTGTCTCAGGCAACCTCAGGACTGCGTGTGCATCCATCTGGCCCATTGCCCTCCTCACCTTTAGCCGCTGTGGCCAGAGGGCACTGAGGGTCAGGACATGGTTGTACACGTATAGAGTGACGGTGCGGGTGTAGCTGACTGCCTGGCTGCCCCGGTGTTCATTGGTGACGGTGACGGTGAAGTTCTCAGTGCCCTTGGGTGGTGTATCACAGGGTGCACTCAGCAGGTACTCACAAGTACCTTGGAAGTCGAATTGGCGCCCATCCAGGGTGATATAATGGGGGTCACCCCAGGCTTGGCACTCAGCTGTGCTAACTGGTTGGCAGCCATACTGGCCAGAAGGCAGCAAAGCACACTCTTCGCCTAGCCCACAGCTGGCAGGCGTGCAGACCAGCGAGCCACCTTGAGGCCCACAGCGGCACAGCTGAGAGCAGGTACCATCAGCCAAAAACTCGCTGCCAGCCTCATAGTAGGTGCCATTGGCCCAGCAGCCACAGCCTCCATTCAGGGGGACACAGAGCTCAGCACTCAACACGAAGCCCTCGTCACACTGGCAGCCCTCGATGCAGGGACCGTCACATACAGCTGGGGTCGTGGGGGCTGAGGGGGACGGGCAGCTGGCTGGGCAGCGTGGGCCACAGAGCTCATAGTGGCTGTTGTCAGGGCAGGGGATCTCTGTGGGTGAATGAAGAGACAGGAGGGAGAGAAAGAGAGATGAGGGTGGAGGTGGCATCTGGGGTCGGGGTGGGAGGGGACAGACAAACAGGGGCACTCGGGAAGAGATTAAGAGAAAGCAAGAGACACAGAGAGACAGAGAAACATACAGAGAGATCCAATCAAAGGGGCGATGGAGAGAGAGACTAAGACAGACAGAGAATCAAGAGGAGATGCAGAGATAGAGAACCAAGCAGAAAGGCCCAGAAGGACGAGCCAACCCGCCCCGCCCCTGCTCTGCTCACCACAGCCGGCCTGTGTCCTCCAGTCCTTGATGACGATCCCAGCGGCCTGGCAGGCAGCAGCGTAGGCAGCCAGCGCCTGGCAAAGCAGGTCCTGGGCCCCGCCACCCAAGCAGACATCCAGAACACAGCCCTTGAAGAAGCTTTCAGGTGGCACATGGGCATGGCAGGTGGCAAAGGGGCCCCCTGGGCCGGGCACCAGGGGTCCGCAGAAGCTGGGACCCTCATACTCTTGTTGTTGGTCCTCAGGGCATGTAGGGCAGGACCCCTGACATTCATCCCAGCAAAATGGGTCCCAACTTGGAACCCGCCAGCTGCCACCCCAGAGGGGTACTGAGGGAGCCAGTGTGCCGTTAGGGAAGACTTGGTCATTGCCGGGGTTTAGGTCCATGTTCCCACACAGCCCGCACACCGCACTATGGTAGCTACTGGGCAGCGTCACCTCCACCCGCCAATCCCAGTCATAGCTGACTTGAAGCCCGAAGTCAGCCACCAACACAGCCTTCCCTGGGCCGTGAGTCACCAAAATCTGCCCGTGGGCTACAGAGACAGGCAAGGCTGTCAGCATGCCGTTCACCTGGGGGAGAGGGAGGGAAACAGGCGTCACAGAGGTAGGGAGACCACAGCTCTGGCTCACTGCCTCCCTCGCTCCTCATCTCCCAGAGGCTGAGAGCTGCCAGGGTCTGCCTCCTAACTGACGGTTGTATAGTCATTTTACAAACATGGATGGCTGCTCTCAGCCAGGGCCTGGGGAATGAGACCGCACACTTGCTTTTTCTGGATCACTCTCTTGTCTCGATCTCCTTCCTCACTCTGCATGTGTCTCCCTCTCTCTTTGCCTGGGCCTGTCTCTCTTTCTGGAACTCAGTTCTCTGTATTTTCTCTCTGGTCGCTGTCTCTTCCTCCCCCCTCTCTTCTCATTCTCTGTGCACCTCTGTGCCTCACTCGCCGTCACTCACTGAGCGCCTTTCCTGTGCTGTGCCTCCCTCTGGCTCTGGAAGCAACTGTCAATTTTATTTCCTTCTCTCTCCCCATCTCCTTGACTCTCTCCATACCCTGGGCCTCTCACTTGTTCCCTTGCAAACACCGGGCCAGACTCCAGGCTGACCTGCTACCTGCATCACCTTGCTGTGGGGCAGGGTCTGCTACGATGCCTGTTTCACAAATGAGGACGCTGGGGCCCCTGAGTCGAATCGTTTGCCCCACATCACAGAGCTCCTAAGAAGGGCCTGGATTCAAATCCAGATCCGCACAAAAGCAAACACTGTTTCCTCCACTAGAGCCAAGGGCGGGCTTAGCCCCCACTAAGAGGTGGATAGTGTTGGTTTCCATCTCTACTTTACGGCAGTCCTGGGTGAAGAGAACTGCAGCTGTCAGGACCCCTCTTGCCCTGCTGGGGGGGGGGCTTGGGGTCCATCCTGTCCGACATACCCGGACTTTGCCGACCTCGTCCTTGTGGATGGAGATGTTGGTGCCAAGGGCAGACACGGTGACGCGGTTCACATAGGACACGGAGGGGTTGCCTCGGTTCTTGTTCTTGGTAGTAACAGTGAAGGGTGTCAGGCCCTCAGCACTGACCCCCGGGCAGCCCACCGCTGCCAGCACATAGTCGCAGGTGCCCTGGAAGTCAAACTCCCAGCCGTCGAAGGAATGGTAGTGGGGATCACCCCACAGCCAACACGTGACATCGTAGTTGGGCACGCACACGCCCTGGCCATTCTGCTCTTTGCATGTCTCCTGTGGCCGGCACGTCACACCGTGGCATGGATCTGGGGGGAGATGAAAGGGAACCTTGAGGGGTGCTCACAGTAAGGTTGGCCTCTACCCAGGTTCTGCCCCAGCCCGTACCAGGGGTACTGGCTATGAAAGTTACTAAGGTGAGACCAGAACTACCCAAGCCCCAGACCGCGCAGTTTACTGTGTCTAAGGCCAGGCCTGGGAGTCCCCCAAGTCTGACTCTCAGGCCCTGTGGTGGACAATGTCCACAGACGGGGTGTCTGAGACCCAAGTACCAGAGGTCCCTGCAGCCGAGACTCGGGACCTAGAGTCCTTTCTTCTGAAACCCAGACCCTGCGCTCTGCCATTTGAGACCCAAGTCCTGGGGTCCCTGGAGCCAAGACCCAGACTCCAGGGTTCCCTTGAGATCTCAACTCAGGTTGAGACCTGTGCCCCAGTCCTTGTGTCCGCTGGGGGTGCCCCTGCCTGAAACCCCAGCCTCAGATTCCCCCAGGCCTAAGACCCAGTCCCCTGGTCTCATGCCCAACCAGGTCCCACCTTTCATACCCTGGCCCTGGGATCCCCATCTAAGTCTCACAGCCTGGCGATCCTGCGGTGCCTAAGGATTTTTGCACCTACCCTTAGGGGTCTCCTCCCCTTCCCTTCCCTCTTTCTTCCTCCCTCTTTTCCTTCCTACTTTCTTCCCTGCTTTCCCTCCCTCCCTCTCTTCCTTCTTTTCTTCCTTTCTTCCTTTCTGTGGTACTGGGGATTGAACGCCGGGAGCACTGAGATATACCTCTAGCCCTTTGTATTTTTTATTTTGAAAAAGACTCACACTAAGTAGATAAATTGTCCATGCTGGGCCTCCTGTCTCAGCTTCCTGAGTAACTGGGATTACAGGTATGTGCCACCACTCCCAGCTAGGGGGTCTCATTTCTGAGGCCTTGTCCCAGAGGGCTCCTGTGTCCAAGACCCCACCTTTAGTCACTGTATCCATGACACTGTACCCTGTTTTCAGAATTCCCAGTGTCTAGGTAGCCGCCTTTAAACTTCCTTCTCTCTAACTCCCTGGCCAATAGCAACTCAGGGCCACTTGCTCCAAATCCACCCAGAGTTGAGCTTTGTCAGTAGAGAGCACTGGAGAGTCACCGCAGGAGGGAGGGCCTGCTGTGCTCTTGCAGCTTGTGCAGCAGTGGCCTGTGGGACACCTGCTTAGGGTCTCCAAGTTGGCTTCTCAGAATCACCCAGGTGTCCCAACTGGAGGCTTTCCACTGAGCTTTTCCAGCACCTAGTGGGGGTTTTCTTCCTGCCAGCTCCAGCCTGCACAACTCTGCTTCCCAGTGGGCTGTATGTAGCAGGACAGGGAGAGCTGAGTCAGCCCTGGGGTCCTTCCCATCTCTGCTTCCTGGTATTCCTCAGCGTTAACCATATCCTTTTGCTGTTAATCCCCCTTTAGTGGTAAATCATTCTTTTGTTTTGGCTGTAGTACTGGGGATTGATCCCAGGGCCTTGTACATGTTGAAAAAGTGCTCTACCACTGAGCTATATCCCCAGCCCAGAAATCATTCTCCCCATTAAACTTTCTCTACTCAAATGACTCCTGAATGAAGTCAGTCTCCTGAATGGACTCTGGACTCCCTGTTATTTGCCTCATGAGCCCTGAGGGTCTCAGCTCCTGCCCCTCAGTTCTGGAGGTTCTGTTCTTTAATTCTTGGAGGGGTCTCAGCCCTGGGATCCTCTGCCTGAGACCTTATGACTCTGCTTTCTGCCTCTGTCCCCCAGTGTCCCCTCCCTTCAGTGCTGGCATCAGAAGCCCTGAGCCTGATCTCACAAGCCAGTGGTCTGCAAACTATGGCACCACCAGTTGCCTATCTTTATAAATAAAGTTTTATTGGAGCCCCTTTCACCTACTTAGTCTACAGCTGCTTTCATGCACAAAGGCAGATTTGAGCGTTGTGATTGAGACCATGTAGGCTGCAAGCTGAATTATTTACCTTTCTGGAGAAATGCTCAGCCAGAAAAAAGGTTTCCTGTCCCTGCCTAATACAGAAAGCCTCTGGCATCTGCCTGGGAAACCTGGCTCTGGGGTCCCCACCACCTGATGCCCCATGAGGTCTTTGGCTCCCAGACTGGATGAGCTCTGCCCTTGGCTCAGAGAAACCCACCCCAGGCTCCGACACTTCCATCCTTAGCCCTCTGCACCTCCCACCACCAACCCACGTTGAAGTTGGCCTCCACGCTCCCTGTCCTCTGTCCCCAGCCACACCAGCCCAGCCCCACAGCCCGGCACCTTTGGTGATGCAGCTCAGGATGCCTCCTGAGAGCTCGCACACCTCCTCTGGGTTGCACCTGTGGTCCTGGCACACCATGCCTTTGCTCACATGGCACACACACTTCTGCTGGCAGTTGTCAATGAGTACCATCTCCTCTGGCTGTGGGGACAGAGGGCACAGCCATTAAGAACCCCTCAGTGGGAGCCGACTCTGGCATCTCTGAGTTCCAGGCACAGAGGGGTGTGGTGGACATAAAAGGGGCATCAGCAGGGTGGGCCCTTGGCTTTGGGCTGAAATCATTCATTTAATTGTTCATATCATTCATTTACTCTCATTCATTCCAAAATATCCACCAAACATCTGCTGTATAGGAGAACTGGTGAGAAGTAGTAATTACAATCAAGCTGCATGGGTTTGAACCCATTTCTGCTATTTCCAACTGCATAACTCTGGACAACATTACTTAGCCTCTTTACACCTCAGTTTCCTCTTCTGAGAGTTTCAGATAATGATGGCACCAACCTATGAAAGTGTAGCTCATTAACAGCGTGTGTGAAGCATAGATGAAAGGAAACGGGACCGACTTCAATAATCCAGACTGGAGGGGAAAGGGAGGCACAGATGAAATAGGATGAGAAAATGCTGATTATTTTTGGAGCGAAGTAATAAGTAGGTACATGGAGATTCATTCCACTGTTCTCTTGACTTCTGTACATTTGAGAATTTTCTTAATAAAAAGTCATATCTATGAGTATAGGTGTACACAGAAAGAATCATCCAGGCACGTATTTGCTGTTATTACTATTATTGTTCTTTGAGGAGAACAACAGAGAGAGTTCCTTACTTTGAAAAGCTCTTAGTCCTGAGCCAGGTATGGTGGCACATGCCTGTATCCCAGCACTCTTTGACGCTAAGGCAGGAGGATCACAAGTTCAATCCCAGCCTGACCTACTGAGCAATTTAGCAAGATCCTGTCTTAACATAAAAATAAAAACAAAACGGCTGGGGATATAGCTCAGTGTAAAGGCCCTGGGTTCAATCCCTAGTACTGAAAAAAAAGCAAGCATACTTTCAGTCCCTTGAGAGACAGACTTCAAACAAACACACTCAAGTTAAAGGACCAGGACTCTGGAAGAAGAGAAGAGGGAAGCAGGTATAACCGAGACAAATATCACCTTTGTGGTCAGGAAAGCCACCTTTCTGGGATACACAGCTAAACCTTTGCCAGGCACAGTGCTGTGCTTCTGTAATCTCAGCTACTTGGGAAGCTGAGGGCAGGAAGATTGCAAGTTTGAGGTCACCCTGGATAATTTAGCAAGACTCTGTCTCAAAAAACAAAAATGTTTTTAAGGGCTGGGCATGTCGCTCAGTGGTAGAGTCCTTGTCTAGCATGTCCAAAGCCTTGGGTTAAATCTCGTGGGGAGCCAGGGAAGGCTTAAAATTCAGGGCCCATGATCATATTTAGAAAGATCTTTCCCACTGCCATATGGAGGATGGACCACAGGAAGCAAAAGTAGGGGCTGAGAAAGGACATACTGGACCAAGGTGGGACCAGGGACAAGGTGGAGGGGCAGGTAGATGGGGAGATATTCAGCTGGACAATGCTCTGGGGCTGATGGCAGTGGAAGGGGTCCAGGATGCAGCCCCAGGTTCTGCCCCAGATGGCTGGGTTCCTACCTCATAGTAGGCACCATTGTGGTAGCAGCCGCATTCCTGGATGAGCACGCAAGCCTGCCCATTGTAGAGGAAGCCAGGGTCACACTCACAGCCCTCAGCACACCCATCTGGGCATTGCAGGGGGGCACTGAGAGCAGAGCAGCTCAGGGAGCAGACGTCGGCGCAGAGATCATAGTGGCTGTTGGGGAGGCACTCCATCGCTGCAGGAAAGGGGGATGCCGGTCAGAGCACGGGGGAGGGGGTACTGCTGGGTGCAAGGTCTCCTCCTGGGCCTCCACCTCCCTGCCTCCCTAGCCCTGTGTCCCCATCACTCACGGCAGAAAGATTCAGTCCTCCAGGGCTCCACGCGGCCTCCGGCTTCCTGGCAGATGCTCACGTAAGCGTGGATGTTGTCACAGAGGATGCTTATGTTCCCACCACCCAAGCAGAGATCAAAGACACAGTCTTTCAGGGAACCCTGGGGATTGATCAGCTCATGGCAGGCAGCCAGCGGCCCTGTAGGGCTGGTGAGGAACCCACAGAACTGCTCCTGCTGGTACTTCTCCTCCAGCTCAGCGCTGCACTTCTGTTTGCAGTCCTCCTCATCGGGGTTGCAGTCTGGCTTTGGCACACAGGGGGAGTTGGGCACTGGCTCCTCCCAGGAGTTGCCAAACTCATTGGGATTGGCTGCCAGTGAGCCGTCAGGCTTCTGGAAGTCATCTTTGGGGTCACCATTGTAGTCACCACACAGGCCACACATCTGCTTGTAGTAGTTGCCTGGAACAGTGACTCGCACATAGTACATGAGGTCATAGGTCACATGCAGGTCAAAGTCGGTCTTGATCACAGCATCTGAGCCATGCTGGAAGACACGGACCTGACCCCCAGCCAATTCCACAGGCAGCTTCTTGTCCACACCATTCACCTGGGAGGCAAGAGATGCTATGCTTCAGAGGGTAGACACTCTGAGAGGGGTGGGCCAGTCTCTCAAATGTCCCTGCCTGACACTAAAGGACTGTGTGACCCAGCCAACCATGGTGGCACATGCCTATAATCCCAGCACCCTGGGAGGCTGAGGCAGGAGGATCTCAAGTTTGAGCTCAGCTTGAGTGGCTTAGCAAGATCCTGTGTCAAAATTTAAAAAAAAAAATTTAAGGGCTAGGAAGGTAGCTCATTGCAAAGGCCTTGGATTCAATCCTCAATACCAAAGAAAGAAATTAATAGACAGTTTCAACCTTACAGGAAAGGTGAGGGCTCAGTGGGATGCAAAGAGAACAGCAGCTCCTGTGTGTCTGGAGCCTCCTGGATGTCAGGTGCTGTTCTAGGAGCTTGGGAGGTGTTGGGGACACATTCAACTGTGTGCCGCGAGCCCTGAACACTGAAGTCAGCTGTGTATCAGTCCTCACCACAATTGCTACAACAGCTACAATGGCTGCCCGCCTGCTTTTTAGCCGGATCTCTGGGGAGATCCTTCCAGTGTAAACTGAAACGCCAGTTTCCACGAGAAACCAAATTCTTTTTGATCAGAAAAGTACTGCAGAGTGCAGAGCCCAGCCCACCATCTCCCAGCACAGGATCCAAGGTTCAAATCCTTCCCTTGCAGTGTGTGTATGTATGTGTGTGTGGGAGTGGTAATGAGACACATCCTTCTTTAAAATAATTGCAGCGAGTCATGGTGCCTCCAGGCACCATTGCAAGGCTGAAGTGATGCTGTGGACACCAAGGGCTTAGCAGCCAACAGGGTCTGGGGACAGTGTGTAAATCCGTGACCGTTTTACTGTTGAGGCTATGGGAGCGATGAGGTCACCACTGGCTGTCCCTTGTCCCTCAGCCCTAAGTCTTCTGGATGTGTGGGAGACCTGAGAGCTAGATTTCGCAGGACCAGGTTGGGGTGGGGGGTGGGAGGGAGGGAGTGGACGGAGCGATGCTCAGAGGGACAGCCTGAGCCACACTGGAGTGGGTTCCAGGTCCCTGAGGCCTCCTCCCCCCTCAGCTGCTCCTCATGCCTCCGCAGGCTCCGAGGCTCTGTGCATCCCTCCTAGGCTCAGCGCTGCCCAATCCTCCTCACTCGGCAGATCGCCCTCCCCCCTGCCTCCCCCCCTCACCATGACTTTCCGCTTATTCTGCTCCAGCCGAAGGGTGTAGTTACCCACGATGACCGTGACCACCCTGGTGGCGCTGTAGCGTCCATTGCCCCAGGGCGCGTTCTCCTGCAGGACAGTGAACTGGGGCAGGCCGGGCCGTGTCCCACAGGTCTGAGCCAGCACGTACACACAGGTGCCCATGAAGTCGAAGCGCTGGCCGTCAAAGGTGGTGTAGTGGGGGTCTCCCGACGCTTGGCAGGTGGTAGCGCCCACGGGCACACAGCCCAGGATGCCATTGGATGGCCGGCAGGCCTCGTGTGGGCCGCAGCTGGAAGGCTGACAGGATACCAGGCCGCCCTCCTCGCAGTGGCAAAGGGAGTCACAGCCAGGCCCAGGGTAGAAGCTCTGGCCGGGAGGGTAGTAGGAGCCTTGGTGTACGCAGCCACAGGAAGCCAGCGGCACGCAGGACTCACCACTGAGGGCGAAGCCGTCGTCACACTCGCAGCCCTCGCGGCATTCTGAGTCACAGCCCCCGGACACCGGGAGGTCCCCGCAGGTTATCGGGCAGCCGTAGGAACAGGCCTCGTAGTGGCTGTGAGGAGGACAGCTCGGCGCTGCGGGGAGAGAGGCCGTTAACATCGGGAATTCTCACCCCAAGGTGACACAGTTGCTCCCCAACATTTACAAGTGCACACACACTCAGACACACAGCGAAGTGGCCGAGGTGCATAAGCCCCTCTGTTCAGCGAGGCCTGGGAAACTCCCTATGTTAGTTAATCTGACCCTGAGAATTAAGATTCTAGTCCCACCTAGGAAAGCACCTGGGACAGTGGTACAGGCCTGTAACCCCAGCCCTCTGGGAGGCTGAGGCAGGAGGATCACAAATTCAGACCAGCCTGGGCAATTTAGAGAAAACTTGTCTCAGAAAAATAAAACAAAAAAGGGCTGGGGATGCAGTTAGAGTGAAGGCCCCAGGTTCCATCCCAGGTATCATCAAAAACAAAAACAAAAATAGTGGAGATTTAGTTCCTTGGTCACAGCAGTTTCAAGTGCTCAAGAGCCACGGGTAATGGTGAGCACTCTGGACTCTGAATCAGGTGTCTGAATCCCACTGTCTGATGATGGTACAGATACTCTTCACTAAGGACCTATCTGCTCAACGATTGTTCAGATTTACAACCTACCATTCAGACTAATGACTGTTTTTTGTCTGTCTGTTTGTTTGTTTTTGAGACAGGGTCTCACTATACAGTTCAGGCTGGCCTTGAACTCACTGTGTAGCCCAGGCTGGCCTCAAACTCCCAGCGATCCTCCTGCCTCAGCCTCCCAAGTGCTGGGATTACAGATGTGCACCACCATGCCAAGCTAGTCATTTTTTTCGGTACATTTCTATACATCTTGTTGATAGAACCTCAACGTCTTTTTTGTACAGCACACCTTGTTTATACAGTATTGTGATTTTTGCTGATTGTACTGTATAGTACTGTAGTTGTATGCTCTTTTATACATTATAGTACTACATATAAGAGTTATGCAAATAAAGGCAAAGTCATCAAGTTGGAGTTTCCTTTGACCATTTCTTTGTTCTGAATCTTGTAATGTACATATGATATACAATTTCTCATTTAGCGACCAAATTCATTTAACAACCTAGTCAAGTCATGGCAATAGGACTCGGAGGAATGCCTGCAGCTTATTGTATTTTAGGTACATTCACAAAGCATGTCGTACAAATAAACACAGCACTCAGGAAAAGACAAATGTTTGAAGACATCAAAATATGTATTATTTCTATACCGGGGAAAAATAAGCTACCTGACATTTTTCAGATATTGAGGTTGCTTTTTTTTTGCCTCATCATCCAAAAAAATATATGGTTTGCCTGTGTTGATGCAGAGGGAGTGATTTGGACCTCAGCTTTATGAGACCTGTTGATCACATACGACACAGGCAGAACAGCTGAGCCAAAAGATCAGAAATGTTTATCAGTGCACCTCTTTTTATTGGGCTCCCTTCTAAGGACTATTTGCTTCCAGTCATTCCTCAGGTGGTAATAAAACTGATTCATTTGGAGTTAAATAAATTCCCAGATATAAACAAACTCTTTAGAAGTGATATTACCTTTGAAACTTTTTGATATGTAGAAATGTCTCATATCATATGGGTTTCTCAGGGGTTATATGTACACTCCCAAACCACAAGAAACAACTGAACAATCACCATTGTTATTCTTGGCTCTGTGATTGTTTTATGTGTTTAACTTTTATCTTACACTCCTGGCTAGTAAGTTCCTTTATTGCATACTTTATATGTCTTTCTATTCTCTAAGGTCATTACTGCAGAGGTGGACAGTTTCACTGTCAAGGATATTTGGCATTTCCTGTGATTTTTACCGAGTCAAACAGGTTCATGGTTCAGTGATGTCTTACTAGTAGTAGTTTAGTTTCACTGGTCCCTTGCAATGACCTGCAGATGCTCCTTCATTAATGAGCCAAAACTGCACATTCAAAGCACAGCTTCCAGCAACATCAACTGTGTGATCACTGTAACCTTGAACAATTCGTGGAAGCTGCTAAGATACCAGGAAAGGCCATGTGAAGAAATATAGGAATAGCTTTATTGATTTGCTAAAGATCATATCTGGATTGCATTTGTTTTGCAATCATTATACTGATGAGCACTTTCTATATCATTGTTATATCATAAGATATCCTAGATTTTTTTTTCAATACTGGGTATCGAATTCAGAACCTTGTGCTTGTCAAGCAGGAGCGGCACCACCGAGCTATATTCCCAGCCCCATGGATTTTCTAAATAATTTTTATCCCTGTCTTTTCTGACATGTGAGGGATTAACATTGCCTGAACCCAGATGATGTGACGATTTGTTGGTGGCTGCTGTGTTTTATTTTAAAGGTTATAGGAGAGCATGTGCTCTTAAGAAAATCAAAACAGGGCTAGGGATTTAGCTCAGTGGTTCCGGCGCCTGCCTTGCAAGCATAAGGTTCCGAGTTCGATCCCTGGTACCAAAAAAAAAAAAAAAGAAAATCAAAACAGTTTTATTGAACTATTTTGATAATGATATCTAAAACAGATATTTCTCGTTTAATGACCTATATGTTTAATGACTATTCAGACTTACAACCTGTCTTTCTTTTTTTGTACAGCTGTATACATCTTGTTGATAGAGGCCGTGTGTCTTTTTTTGGTACAGTTTACCTTGTCCATACAATACTGTGATTTTTGCTGATTGTACTGTATAATACTATAGTTTTATGTTCTGTTATGCATTACAGTACTGCATGGAAAAGTTATGCAAATAAAAGCAAAGCCATCAGGTTGGAGTTTCCTTTGACCATTTCTTTGTTCTGAATATTGTAATGTACGTACTATATACATTTCCTCATTTAGCCACCAATTCATTTAATGGCAACCAATTCATTTAAAGGCCTTGTCATGGGAATGGGACTCAGTCATTAAATAAGGAATGTCTATGTTAGTTTTGGCCCACAAAGCATTAGCAATGCAACGTCAGTCAGGCCTTTGAAAAGTGCATGTGTGCCACGCATAGGTCACACTATTGTAATCCCAGATTATTTGGGAGGCTGAGGCAGAAGGATCAAACTAAAAAATAAAGGGCCAGGGATTTAGCTCAGTGGTGCCTCTGACTGCCTTGCAAGCTCAAGGTCCTGAGTTCGATCCCCAGAACCAAAAAAAAAGCAACTAAAAAATAAAATGTCTTTGATAGCAAACAAAAATGTCTCCAGACCATTTCTACACCCTCATGGCGAACAAGGTTCTATCTCTCTTTCCGTGTGTGTGTGTGTGTGTGTGTGTGTGTGTGTATGTGTGTGCTGGGGATAGACCCAGGGTCTTGTGCACGGTAGGCAAGTGCTCTACCACTGAACCACATCCCCAGCCCTTTTTATTTTTCAGTGTGAGACAGCATCTCACTAAGTTGCAGCCTGGCCTCAAATTCTCCACCTTCCTGACTCAGCCTCCTGAATAGCTGGGATTGCAGAAAAGCAAGGTTCTCACACTGCCTCTACGGGGCCAAGCAGATGTTGTAAGTGGGCAAAGCAGGCCAAATGGGGACGGCGAAGTACTGGAGAGGGGATCACACTCCTTCTAAAAGCAGCACTGCTCATGGCAACCAATATGGGAATCAGACCTGGGCCACCAGGTGTACCCTGTCGTTACACAAATATTGACTGCAGGCGGTCTGTCTGTGACATCCTAGCTTTCATGATTCCAGGGATGTAACGAAAAGTTTCTAAACCTCTGTTTCTTCAACTGATAAATGGGTATAAGCACAGTCCCCACTTCATGCAGCCTTTGTAAGAACTAAACGATCAGTGATCCTATGTTAATGAAGAAACGTGAGTGTTCGCCCCCAAGTGGCCACTCTCGGTACTCACGGCAAAGCTCCTCACTCCTCCAGGGATGCACCGTGGCCCCCGCAGCCAGGCAGGCAGCAGTGTACGTGGCCAGTGAGTCACACAGCGGCCCAGACAGGCCGGGCAGCAGGCAGCGGTCGTAGACGCAGTTGCGCACCACACCCTGCGGGTCCAGCGTGGCGTGACAGTCCCGGAAGGGCCCGTTGGGGTCAGCAATGATCCCGCACTCCTCCTTGCTCTCCAGCTGCTCGGCCACCAGGGAGTCCAGCTTGGGACAGTCACCAGTGTCAGTTGCTCCACAGCCGGGCGTGGCCTCCTCCTGCCAGCTGTTCCCGAAGTCCAGGGCGTTGGCAGCTTGGCCTCCACCCCGCAGAGCCAGGTCATCCGCCGGGTCCCCGTTGAAGTTCCCGCACAGCCCACACAGGGCCTTGGCATAGCTGCCTGGCACCTTGGCGGTCACTAGGGCGTTCCAGTTGTAGGTGACAGTCAGGCCAAAATCTGTGCGCACAAAACCCTCGTTGCCCTGGCGGAACACCTGTACCTGCCCATCTGCGGCTTGGAAGGGCAGGTAATGAAGGATGCCATCCACCTAGGAGAGACGAGAGGGCCAGCTGGTCAGGACAGTCAGGGCTCCGGGGCTCCCCTCTCTCACTAGGCTCCAGCAACCTGGGCTTTGTTGTTTGTGTTTTGTTTTCTTTTGTTTCCTTTCACTACTTAGGATTAAGCCCAGGACCTTCACACTAGGCTACATCCCCAGGCCCCTTTTTTATTTTTTATTTTGAGACAGGATCTCACTAAGTCACTAAACTGCTCAGGCTGGGCTTGAATTGTGATTCTCCTGCCTCAGCCTCCCAGTGTGCTGGGATTTCAGACATCCCATGGCCTCTTTGATAGTTCTCAGACTCTTCCATGTGCAGTTGAGCCTCAGGCCTTTTATGTTTTGCCAAAACCACCATCCACCACTTTCCTCTGGCTAAGTCCATTTTATCCTTTCACCTTGGCTTAAACCCAAGCCCTCTCCTAGAAGGCCCTGTGTGATCTCGGCCCTGCTTATCTTTGTGCCTAATTACTGACCACATCACACACTCGGCTCCTTGCTATCTCCCTACATGCTTTCCCACCTCAGGACCTTGCTCTGGCAGCGACCTCTGTCTGGTGTAGCAGCCATCACTCTTTATCTGCCTACCTTATCTTTTAGGAGTCAGCTTTGGTTCAAATCCCTTACCGTGGTCTCAGAGGCCCTAGATCAGTGGTGGCAAACCTATGGCACACGTGCTGCAGCAGGCACACAGAGCCCTCCCTCTCTGTCAGCACATGAACAAGTCACCCCAGCAAGTGAGCATCAGATAACAGTTGTTTTTTCTAAACTAAAACCTCAGTATTCAAGTTTAATTGCAGTGTTGGCACTTTGGGATAAATGAGTGAGTTTTGGGTTATAGTCCAGGCACTCGGTCTCTAAAAGGTTTGCCGTCGTTGCCCTAGATGATCAGACTCCCATTATTCTCCAATTTAATTGTCCAGTACCCCTCCTCTCTGAAACTCCAGCCATGCCAGCATCTTGAATTTACCAGCAGCTCAGCCCAAATAAGGGGCCTTTGCACCTCCTGTACACCCTGCTTTCAATACTCCCACCCTATTCTACGTCACTATTCATTGCATTTCTGACTCCTCACCTGCCACCTGCTCTAGCCCATCTCCCAACTTCACTCTCTAAGCCTCCCCATCAGCCTTGTGCTGTTCTGTGCTCTTCCAGCTCAATCCAGCCTCAGTCTTTCCACCTCCTGTCCCCTCTGGCTAAGAGCCACTCCTCCTCCTCTGTTGGCCTCCTCCTCATCCTTTATGCTGGGATCAAAAGCCAGCTCGCTCCTGCCTTGCCCTACTTTGCTCTTCTTTCAATCCCTCCACTCCAGCCCACTGGCCTCCTTGGCATTCCTCAAACCCTTGAGCTTCTCCCTGCCTCCAGGACCTTTGCTCTTGCTACTCCTCCTTCCTTCGGTCTGCTTCTCTCCCTACTTGTTCCATCTCTTTCCTCAGGACGGGTAATAGATTACAATGGTTAAAACCAGGGACCCTGGAACCAGTCTGACTACAAATCCTTGCTCTGCAATCCTGGAACAGGTGATTTAACTTCTCTGTGCCTCAGTTTCTTCATCTAAGATGAACTACTTCACAGGGCTGTTGTGGAGATACAATGAATTCATATATGTTGAGAATTTAGTACACTGAAGTAACAACTCAGGTTGGTTATTATTATTCATGCCTCAAGTAAAATGTCATCTCAGAGAGGTGGGAACATAAATGCATATTAATAAATATGACTTCTGTTTATCTAGTACCTCTCTCACCAAACGCTGGGGCCTAAGGGGTGAGATTTCCCTCCCCCAGGGATGCTGTGGGGAAGAGGAGCTTAGGTAGGGTGGCTTTGGCATGGTGCCTGACACATGGAGAGTTCTTTCTCCCCATTTCTGGATCACCTGCCCAGAGCATGGGCCACTGCACCCTGCCAGGGCAGGAACCCCCAAAGTGCTCAATTACTATTAGTAGCTATTGTGCCCCTGCCCCAGCAACCCCAATTTTCCACTTCTCTCTTTTTGTTAAGAGAAAATCAGTGTTCCTGTACCTCCAATGTGTGGTGTTCCCTCTACCCAGAAACCAGGGGGCCGTGTCACCCCATCTATGAGGCCCAACCCCATCCAACTCTCAGAAGCTGGACATGCACCTCAATTATTCCCCAACATACTCATACCCACAGTTCCCTCGCCTCACATATGACGCGACATGTCTCCTGTCTGAAAATCCATCCTCCTCCTCTGGAAAATGCACAGATCTACAAGTCTGAAAGTTCATAGCAATAAAAACAGTAACAGCCAACACTGACTGAGCATTTGGTGGGTACTAGGGCCTCTTTGAAACACTGCATGGTCTTAACTCATCAAACCTCCACCATTAGCCTGTGAATGTAGTAGGAATCTGAACCCCCACTCTACCACTGAGCTACATCTCCAGCCCTTTCTTCTTTCTTTCTTTCTTTCTTTCTTTCTTTCTTTCTTTCTTTCTTTCTTTCTTTCTTTCTTTCTTTCTTTCCTACTGTGAGACAAGGTCTTGCTAAGTTGCATAGGCTGGGCTCAAACTTGTAATCCTCCTGCCTCGGCCTCCTGAGTCCCTGGGATTGCAGGGTCGCCACCTGGCCTGGCTCACAAGATCTTCGAACAGACCTCCATTCCCGACGCAGGGCCACTCATCTTGGACGGGGCGAGGGCAGTCGCTCACCAGCACTTTGCCCGGGTACTCCCGGCGCAGGGCCAGCTTCACACCGCGGGCCTCCACCCGCACGGCACGCGTGTAGCTCACGGTCTGGACGCCACGATGCTCATTCTCCACCAGCACGCGGAAGGTGGGCAGCTCTGCGTCCTGGCCACAGGAGCCCACCAGCAGGTAGGTGCAGGTGCCCATGAAGTCGAAGCGCCGGCCGTCGAAGCTGATGTAGTGCGGGTCCCCAGACGCCTGGCAGCTCGCGAAATTGTCGGGGTAGCAGCCCAGGAGGCCGTTCTCCACGCGGCAGCGCTCCCCCTGCGGGCAGCCCTGAGTGTTGCGGCAGGTCACCTTCTGGGTGGCGCCGTCGCAGGTGCAGCGCTGGCGGCACAGGTCGTCGCCCCACAGCTCCTGGCCGGGCGCCAGGGGGCGGCCCTCGTGGACGCAGCCGCAGGACGAGGCCGGCACGCAGGCGCCGCCGCTGGCCACGAAGCCGGACTGGCACACGCAGCCCTCGACGCACGGGTGGTCGGAGCAGTTGGACGGCACCGCCTCGGAGTTGCAGGTGGCCGGGCAGGGGGGCGCGCAGAGCTCGTAGCGGCTGTTGGCTGGGCAGGACATGGCTGCGGGGGGGGACGAGAGAGGGTCAGGGAGGGCAAGCCAGGACTCCCTGTGTCCTACCTAGAAAACCTGCTGCTCCCTTGTAAATGGGACCTCAGTTAGTGGCACTTCCACCCCGAGTCATCCCACAGGGTTGCGGTTGACCCTCCTCCAGCCCATTCCCATTCACAGGACAATCTGTCAGGAAAGGCTCTGAGCTCCATATTCGGAACTCACCCAGCATGTGCCCGGTCCAGCTGCCGGCCTGATTGGCCCCCACCACCTCTCTGCCCTTGTCTCCCTCACCCCTGCTCTGGCTCACTCAGCCGCAGCCACAGTGGACTCGTCCCTGGTTCTCAGACTCCTCCTTCCTCCGTGCGTTTGCACTAGCCATTTTCTCTGTCGGTACGACCCTTTCCTCAGAGTCACGGGCAAATGACTCTGATCTCTCTGTGCCTCAGTTTCCCCATCAATAAAGTGAGATGATATAGTGCAGACCTCACTGGGCTGTTGCGAGGATTACATGGATTAATGGATATAGAGCTGCTCCGTGAACATCATCGTCATATTTCGAGGTTTACCTGCTCCCCTTCCCCGGGATCTGGGTTCTACGGGGGTGGAGATCAAGTCTCCCCAATCCCTGCTGAATCAGCACCAAGGACAGGTCCTGGCGCACAGTGGAAATGAACGGATAGATGAATGAGCTCTCTGGTTCCTCTTTTAGGCCAGGAATTAGTGCCCTGGGGGTGGAGGGAGGCTTACTGAACACTGGGGACACCGCAGTGAGGCACTGGCCTAGACAAATTCAAAATAGCCTCAGTGTCTCCCTGAGATTGACTGCCCCTCTGAAGTAGGCCTCCTGCCTCCCCTCAGTCCTTCTGCCTCCTGAACATTTCTCTGGGAGCCTCACAAGGACAGGGCTGGATCTGTGCCAGCTCTACTGTGTCCTCAACATCACTGGCAGGGTACAGGGCCAGGTGAGGAGCCTAGAACGCCTGCTGAGTGAATGAGTGACTGACAAAGTAGATGGACATGTGGTGTCAGAGCTTGGGCTTTCTTCGGAGGGTGTTGGGGGACCGTGGGAGGGTGATAAGAAAAGAAAGAGACAGTCATGTTTCTATGTTGGAACTGTGCAGTCTGCCTTTCCTGCTAAGGAGATAGAAGTCACTTTTTCCTCTTTTTTTCTGGCAACCTCCAACCCCTACTCTGGGATTCCTTAGACACCCCCGCCCCTTTTAAGTACTGCAGACTGGACCCAGAGCCTTCACCCTGAGCTCCATCCCAGTCTTTTAAGACAATTGGGAGGGGGAGACAGAGTCTTGATAAGTCATTGAGTTGCCCAAGCTGGGCTTGAGCTTGCAGTCCTCCTGCCTCAGCCTCCTGGAGTACTGAAATTACATGGTGTGGTATAACATCTGAATGGACATCTCTTTTTCTAGGAAACCTCCCTGAAACCCCTTTTGGCTGCATCGGGAATCTTCTCTGCTGTGCTATACTCTCTTGAACTTTCTTCATCCCAAACCCAGCCCCTCTACCTATGTCTCCCTGCCCCATCACTGACTCTCTGTGCCTTGCACATCCCAGCCCCAACCACACCAAACTCACTGTTTAGTGATGTGTCTGCCCCACCCTCAGGCTCAATGTGGCAGAGCCCAGCACCAGGCTAACCCACAATAAGTGCTCAAGTATTTAGTATGGGCCATGGCTCCCTTGTCCCCTACAATGTGCTCCAGGCCCCCATCCCAGGAATTACTCACGGCATTTGGCTGGTGACCTCCAGTCCTCAACAGAGATGCCCAGCTCCACACAGGCCTGGGCATAGGCAGTGAGGCCACGACACAGGCTGAGCCGCTCCCCTCTGGTCACACACAGGTCATACACACAATCTTCCAGGAAAGGCCGGGGATTCAGAGATTCATGGCAGGCAGCGAAGGGACCTTTAGGCAGGGTCAGCATGCCACAGAGACGGCTGCCCTCGTAGTGCTGGGCCTGGCCTTTGGTGCAGGCAGGACAGCTGCTCTGGCAGCCATGACTGCACAAGTAGTCCCCATCATCCAGCCTCCAGCTACTGGCAAACTCATCGGGGCTGGCAGCCTGCTCCAGGTCAGGCATGAGGAAGTCGTCAGCAGGGTCACCATTATAGTTGCCACACAGCCCACACACCTGGTCTTGGAAGCTCTTGGGCAGGCTCACTGTCAGCTGGCAGTCCCAGTTGTAGGTGACCACCAGCCCGAAGGTCAGCTCCACCACAGCCTGTGTCCCTCTCTGGTACACACGCAGGCGGCCCTTGCTCAGGGAGGCTGGCAGGCGAGAGCGCTGGTTGTCGATCTGCAGAGTGGGTGGAGGTGGTCAGACCCCATGGGTTCTCACCTTGGGAGCCTCATTCCTCCCACTCCCCCTGCACCAGACACATCGGAGTTCCTTGTTATTGCCACCCTTCCAGCCCTGGGATCTTTCTGTTTGCTTGTTTGTTTGTTTGTTTGTTTGTTGTACTAGGGGTTGAATCCAGAGCCTTTTCACTGAGCCACATCCCCAGCGCTTTAAAAAAAATTTTTTTAAATTTTGAGACAGGTCTTGCTAAGTCTCTACGTTGCCCCCAGCTGGGCTTGAACTTGCAATCTTTCTGCCTCAGCCTTCTAGAGTGCCACAATTACATGCATGGGCCACCACCTCTGGATTAGCCTGGGAATCTTTGCCCTTGCACTTCCTGTTGTCCAATCTGTTCTTCCCTCAGCTGTGCACTAGCTCCCTCCCTCACCTCCTAAACAGTATTTGCTCAAGTGTCACCCACTCAGTGAGGCCATCCCTGCCCATCTCCCCCCACCCCATTTTTGAGACAGGGTCTCCCTATGTAGTTCAGGTTGGCCTTGAACTCACAGTGATCCTCCTGCCTCAGCCTCCTGAGTGCTGGGAATACAGGGTGTGCCACTACACCGGGTACCCATCCTATTTTAAATAGCAGCCCTTCCCTATTCTGCTGTGCATTCCTTTCTTCTGATAGCTTCAAAACCTGTCACATATAATTTGCAAACTTCTCACATCTATCATCTATCATCTATAACTCCACTAGAATGTCCCCATAGCATGTCAGCTCCACTAGGAATGGGGTTTTTGTCTGTTTTGGTCACTGTTTTATTTTGGCCTACGACAGTGTCTTGTAGAATAGCAGGTGCTCAATAAATGCAGGGTGTTGCCTGCGCTGGTGGCACTCACCTATAATCCTAGCAACCTGGAAACCTAAGGCAGGAGGGCGGCAAGTCTGAGCTCAGCCTGGGCAACTTAGAGACTTAATGAGACCCTGGTTGGTTTTTTTTGGGGGGGGGGTTGTTTGTTAGTTTGTTTGGTACCGGGGATCGAACTCAGGTCCTTGCACTTTCGAGGTAGGCGATGGAATCACTGGGCTAAATCCCCTGCCCAATGAGACCCTGTTTTTAAAAATAAAAGGGCTAGGAGCATAGCTCTGTGCAAAGACCTTAGATTCAATCCCCAGTAATCCCCAGCAACTGAAGGGAGTGGGAGGAAGGGGGAAAGGGAACTGGGGGAGAGGAGGAGGGAAAGGAAAGAAGGAAGAGAGGAGATATTTCACATAGCGGGTGATTTGGTCAATTTAGAAATCCCTCACTGTTAGATAAATTTAGATAGCTTCCTTTTTATTTATTTTTTCCTTTTGCTATTACACAAGCTATGTTCTTATGGTTTTTTGTTGTTTTGTTTTGTTTTGGGGTCCCCCCAACCATCTCTCAATAGCCTTAACATTTCTGGACGCGGAATGGGAATGGTGGAGGAAAGGGCTTTAAGGTTCTAAGACGAATTACAAATCCCTCCGCCCACCCCGCCGCTGCTCTGCCCTCCCCGCTCCCGCTCCCCCTCCCGCTCCACTGCCAAGGCGGACACTCACCCGCGCAAAGCCAACTTCCCCGCGGGCCAGCGTCACCGAGTGGCTGTAGGCACGCACAGTCACCAGGCCCACGTAGGAGACGAGGCGGCTGCTCCGGCGCTCATTCTTGGCCTCCACGCTGAAGGCCGGCAGGGTCTCGTCCTTCCCGCACAGCTCGGCCATAGTGTAGGTGCAGGTGCCCATCATGTCATAGCGACGGCCGTCGAAGGTGGTGTAATGGGGGTCACCCTGGGCGCGGCAGACGGCCCTGGACTGCGTCACGCACCTGGTCTTGCCGCCCACCCCCTGGCAGTGCTCCCCGGCCTTGCACTGTACGCCTTGGCAGGAGGGCTCCGCGGTGGGCAGCGTGGCTGGGCAGGGAACAGAGCGTTAGAAATGCGCGGGGACGCAGGCCTGGGGCCCTCCCGCCCAGCCCAGCCAAGTGTGGGGGCTTCACTCACAACGGCTCACCTCGGAGATGGGGAAACAGCCTGGCTGTCACAAGGAGGGTGCTGTTCAGGACCCCCTGAAAACCCTAAGTTTTCTGATTCTCCAATTTACCACAGCTCAGCACAGAAAAACCAAAGGTAGTGAAGAAGCAGGACCAGTTATTAAAATGTTACTTTGAGCTTTTCTCTTCCTCTCCTTCCTTCCCTTCCCACCAGGGAGCACTGAGCTACATCTCTGTCCTTATTATTATATTTTTATTTTGAGACAAGGTCTCTCTAAATTACCCAGACTGGCCTGAAACTTACCATACACCTACCTCAGCCTCCTGAGTAGCTGGGATGACAGGTATGCACAGCCCCGCAACGCCCAGGTTTTGTTTTTTGTTTTTTGTTTTTTCCAGTAGCAGAGATTAAAACCAAGTCTCTACACTGAGCTATAGCCCCAGCCTCGTTTGTTTGTTTGTTCATTTGAATTTTGAAACAAAGTCTCCCTAAATTGCCCAGGGTGGGTTCAAACTTTCAATCCCCCTGCCTTCACCTCCCAGAGTGCTGGGATTTTTTTTTCTCTTTTTTTTTTAGAACAAAGTGGAAGACAGAGGCTGTTGAGCAAAATGGAAGCAACTGTGGACCAGGCTACCTGATCAGGAATCCTGGCCCAGGCAACTAGGAGGTGTCCTAGGCCTGGTCACCTGCCACACACCACATGAAGTAGTTTATACTTGTTAACTAGTTCCACCCCTACTATACCCCTGGGAAGGGAGTGCACTTATTGTTTCCCATTCTACAGATGTGGAAACCAAAGCCCAGAGAGCTGAAGTCACATGGCCAAGGTTACCAAAGCAGAGCTGGGATTTAAACCAGGCCACTGTGGCTGTGGCATCTGAGTTGTCACATACCACCTGCACTGGCTGGTGGCAGCTCCTCACTACTGAGTCTGAGGGCTCACCTAGGCTAGGTCCTGTTAACTACTTCAAAACTGAAGCACCTAAGGGCAGGGATTTAGCTCACTGGCACCACACCTGCCTTGCAAGCATAAGGTCCTGAGTTTGATCCCTGGTACTAGGGGGGAAAAAACCAAAACTGAAGCACCGAGGAGGAACCCTGGTTCACTGAGAGATAATCCCATCATGGTGGTCATCATTATTAGACTTTTAGAAATGAGTGTGGGCATTAAACTTCCTACATAGATGAGAAGTGGAGAGTAGCAGGTAGCAACAGGTATAGCTGTCTTAGTTGCTAAAATAACAAAGTATTTCCAAACTGGTTGTTAAGAAGCTGCTGACCTGACAGCTCCCCCTGCATCTTGGTACCCTGGCTGTCCCCTAGAGCCCCTTCCCAAACTCCCCACAAACCAGCCCACAAGGGCTGATCCCAGCATGGTGGGGACTTCCTACTGCAGAGCTCTGACTGGCATCTCATTTGACTGGTCCTACCTGCAGTCACTGGTTGCTAAACATTTAGACTATTGTCCCTGGTAGAAGGAGAAGGGCTGGAAAGACTTAAGGAAGGATGTCAGGGAGGATGAAAGTGAGGGGTGGACAGCCCTGCTGAGCAGGAAACCACAGAGAGACAGGTAGGAAGGAAAAGGGTCTCCAGGTGGACAGGGTGAGAGATCTCACTCACTCCGGCCGCAGGCAGATGCTGTCCCGTAGCCCACAGCCTTAGCCAGCCCGAAGGTGAGCAGCCCGAAGTTGGTAGCAGCCTCAGCCATGTGAATGGTGTCACCAGTGCCGAGATCCACTTCAGCATATGAGAACTCACTGCCTGGCACAGGTGTCCAGGTGATCTTGGCCCTCGGGGTGTACCCATCCATGGTCAGCCCACTGACAGCCTTTGTCTGGGCTACCATCAGGGCCACCCCCTCAGAGCCTGGCACACTCTTGATCACATAGGCAGGGCAGTAGGCTGCCACATCTGGGATCAGGACCAGGTAAGGGTCATAGGTCACTTCATTCTTTATGGCACCTGTGCCGAACAGCAGCACCTGGATGCCCACATCTGCATGTAGGTAGAGTGGCCGGGTTGGTCGAACCTCAAACTCAATTACATCACCCATCCGGAGCCCACGGGAGCCACTGGTACCCCCATGGTTGTAGGTCAGCTTCGTGGTCTGGCTGGCTACAACATAGGCCAGATCAAAGCGGGATTGGGAGGCCAGAGGGGGGACCACGTATTGGGTGCCCCAGGCAGATGTAGGTAGCAGCTGCTCCATCACGTGGTTGCAGGTTGTGTGCTTCTCAGCGCAGCTGTGGCCAGAGAGGACAGCCACAGGGTGGCTGGCTGTGACCTTTGACCCTGAGAGATCGGCTATGCTCTGTAGCTGGGCCACCTCATAGGGCTGCAGAGTCATACTTAGGACATTGCCAGCAGGGTAGAACTTGGCCTTGAATGTCACTGACCCCTTCAGGTTGATACTGACTGAGGCCCCTGCTGCACCAGCCACCACAGCAAACTCCTTGACGTTTTGGACTGAGATGCCAGGGGGTGTGAGCACAAAGTACTCAGTGCCCAGAGCCTGGACAGCCCGCAGCAGGGTCAGTTCAGCTGTGTTGGGCTTAGTATTTACTGCCTGCACAGTAATGGTATGGTCAGAGTGGACCACTACTGCTCTCTTGAAGGTATTGCTGCCAGTCATCTCAGCCTTGGCACTGATGTTGACCATGACCGACTCCCCGGGCCTCACTGTGACCTTCTTCAAAGTGCCATCTGCATGGCTGAGGATGGAGACCAAAGCAGGCTTCTCTGACAGACTGGAGATGAAGAGGTAGAGGTGGGGCGTGCTGTACCCAGGCTGGAAATTCTGCAGGAAAGCTGTGAGGAATTCCTGCCCCCCAGAGTTCCTGGGGTCCACTCGGGCCTCCTGGGTCAGCCCTTAAGAAAAGACAGTTGTGGGTCCACTTATCCAATCCTCCCCCTCAGAGAACCAACCCCTTCCCTGCATCTGGAAATATGGTGAAATAGCTACATTCCTCCTTCCTTGTTTCATTTCTTCTTATTCAACAGCATTCATCGACAAGCCTTTCTGGTTTTTGCTTTCCAAAAGCCTACTCACTGTGAAGAAGGCTCTCAAACTCAAAAGCTACCGGGGCCAAGTGAGTTATATAAATGTGAGAAATACTCAGTGGTGACTGTAGAGACGGCAACATGCATACACCACCTGAAGTGGATTGTTGCTTCTCTTTAGCTGGTTGGTATTAGGAAAGATCATGGACTTTAAAAAAAAGCTACATCTGAGGCAGTGTGATAGTACATGCCTGTTAGCCCAGCACTCACCCTGTCTCAAAATTTAAGAATTTTTAAAAGGGTGGAAGATGCAGCTCAATGCAAAGGCCCTGAGTTCAATCGCTAGTACCAAAAGTATTCAATTAAATTAAAATGCTATGTCTTCCCACCTGAATTTTTCTGTGAAATCTCCAACTCAAAATTGTTTTAAGCACCCTGGAGGCACGAACTGGGTGGATGTAACTGCCAGTGGATGATTTCTGTCTGAATAGGACTCAGGGCCTTGTGCAAAGGGGATAAAGGGAAGATGGCAATGGTGGGCGTATGGACAACATGTCTCCTAGGATTAGAGGGGAGCTGGGCTTCTATTCTCCCCAACTAGAGAGAGACAGGCAGGTGGGCAGGCAGACAAATAGCTCTCTGAAGTCTTCAGAAGCGTGTAGGATTAACAGATGACTACCTGAAAACTGAAGAACCCTTAAAGAATATTCCACTGTCCTATGGGGTCAGGGGATCAGGGACAACGCACATTTCTAAAGCTACCTAGATGGATGTTGACCTGGGACCACAGGGCTCTAATATCCCATCCATCCCCTGGTACTTGGGCTTTACCTAACACTCTAGTCTCATAAGCCTAGGTGAACTGGGGACAAAGCTCTAAGAATGACGTCAAGGAATTTCTCATCATCTCAGAACGAGCCTCAGAGCCTAAACCTTAGTTGAGTTGCAGAAAACCAAGAAAGTGGTAGTGCTTGTGCACTTGAAATCAAGGGTGAAAGGTTGTGGGTTTTGGGGTTTTTTTTTTTAACCCGCTTCCCTCCAGGAGAGAGACAGAAACACAGAGACAGAGGCTGAGAGGGAATGGGTGAATTCCACTCTATTTTTTGCAGAATCTACAGTCCCCTCTCTCATCTCAGCTGGCCTGGGGGACACTGGGAGGTAGGTTTGTGGAAGGCACACAGACAGAGGGTGCTGTGCCTGACACGGAGAGTCTCCTAGATTGGAACAAGGCCACGGACGGGCGCTTGGTCTGACTTACCCCACAGGAGGGTTGTTCCGGCCCAGAGTGTCCACCAACTCCACAGGGAACCCATGCCTGCAGGAAAGAGAGAAATGGGGTCACAGGAGGCTGGTCTGTCAGTCCTGGTCTCAGGATGAGGGTCATGTGGACCACAGAGAGGCTGAAATGGGAAGCAAGTTAGCCAAATAGGGCAAGAAAGACCAGATCAAGGCCGTGTGTGTGTGTGTGTGTGTGTGTGTGTGTGTGTGTGTGTGTAGGGAAGATTGACTGTCCAGTGGGTCATGGGGTAAGGTGTTGAGGGCAGGATCAAGGGAATTGGATGTCCAGAGGGTCCCAGAGTGGGGTAGGATAAGGCAGTCTGGAGCCAGGAACTAAAGAAGGGAATTTGCTGTCCCACTCCCACAGGGGTCCCCAGCCCTTCTCACCTGCAGGTTCCTGGAGCTGTGGGGACAGCTTGAGGGCTGCACTATATAGTGGAGTTTCTTGGCCCTTCAGACCACACCCTGGGCCACCTGTCAGGCAGATTATGCCAACTTCCTGGAGGAGGCTGCTGCCCCCAGGCCAGGTGGGACAGGGAACCCCAAAGTCCAAGAAAGGGTGGAGGACATGTCTGAACCTCCCTTCTGAGAACAGCTGGTGGCTATGCCCCGGAAGCCTATGAGAAAACTCACTCCTGCAAGGGTGGTGTTCCTGAGGGAGACAGCTGGGCAGCAGCGTGCCAGGAGCCTGGGTCCCTGGGTGGGGGAATTGGGGAGGAGGTGGGAGGTAGCTTTAGTCATCTTTGCTGGGTTGCTGGCCAGATTCCTTCCTTTGACCCCTGCAAGGATCAACAGCAAGAGCCCATATCCGGGTCCTGGCTCCACCCAGTCCCCATGGGCTGACCTCTGGCCCCCAACTACCCATATCCTCTTTCTAGTCACCAGTGAGAGGTGGATGTTTGGGGCCCTGACCCAGGCCTGTAGTGTGGAATGTAATGTCTCCACCTCCCGACCAACAGGGCCTTCAGCTTCCTAATCTGGGAAGTGGGACCCCCCAGAGGCTGCCCCAAAACCTCTGTGGTCCCAGGCTGGGCTTATGGTGGGAACTGAGGCTGAAGCTGAGTGTGAAGAAGACCACAGGCCTGTTTCCTGGTTCCACAGAGCCATGTAGGTTTTACTTCACTTTCTGGAGAATTATTTGGTTTTGGATTTGGTTTTTATGGGTACCTTCCTGAAAAGACTGGCTGAATAGGTCTTGGTGATTCGGTGCCACTCCATCACCCCAGAATTGGCCTCAGATGAGACACAGGGCTTTCAGTGGCACATGAAGCAGAAGAACTAGCTGAGGGGCAAGGTGGGCTTTCTGGGAAGGGTCCTTGGGGACTACCTCGATCCATGGTCCACTGCACTCCTCCCTACCTTGGGATCATTGTTTGCTGAGGCGTCGCCACCAGAAGCAGCAGCTGCCAAGCCTGGGTGTCCTCTCAGTCAACACCCCAGCAGCTGCTGCTCCCAAGACTCCTCCTCTCTTATCACTGAGACCTGGACTTCAGGGCGGCCATGGTGGGTGGGGGCGTTTTGTTTCTCTCTGTGGCTCTGGCCACCCCAACACTCACCAGAGCAGGTTCCCAGAGGAAAAGATAAGGGCTTGGCATTAACTGAGACTTCAAGTCAGTGAGGAGTGAAGTAAACAAAAGGCTGGATGAAAGCCAGAAATAAGCAGGGGTGGGGGACCCATGGGGAGTGGGGACTGTGGGGGAGAGGGATGCCTGTGTCTTTGAGGGGTCTGAAGGTTGGGAGAGGGGACCTCTGGGTCCCCAGGGGAAAAAAGGACTGAGAGGAGAGGACATAGGGACTCCTGAGGAGGAAACGGTGATTACAAACCAAGATGTCAGAATCCTCTCTGCAGGTACGCCTCATGTGGTCTGAGACAGTTAGAGAAATAAGGGCTAGAGGGTGAAGAATTAGGGTGAGCTTTCAGTGGTGATTCTGGCCTTCAGTCTCCTCTCTAAGCCTTGAGGTCTCCCCTGCTTGAGAGAAGCCTTTGCTTTCAAAATCTGCCCTTGCTCTCCACAGAAATAGGATAGTGGGAGGAAATCTCGATTATCCTTTCTCACTCTGTATTTTAAAACCCCCTGAGACTTGGTCTTTCACTCCATTCAGTGCCCGAGGTGTGGGGGTGGGAGGGGAGAGAGGGAGGGAGAGAGAGAGAGAGAAACGTGAGAACAGGAGAACACACCCTGTGCCCTACCCTACAGAATATTTTCTCAGGGATCCCACTGGTGACCTGGAAAATAACCTCTGGGACATTTCCTTATGGTCACAGAAACCGCATTCATCTCACCACTGGCAGCTTCGCTTGAACTCAAACAAGTGTATTTGTGTTTCTGAGCCTTCCAGACTCGTCCAGAGTATGAGGGGGAGGATCTGATCCGAACTCATCACACTAGCCCAGACTCTAGGACCCTTTGGGCCCTCTGGACTTTACAGATACACGGCGCAGCTGCAGAGAATGTAGTGGCTCCAGCTAAATGCTAGTTTGGTGATGATTTCTAACTTCATTCCTCCATGCTCTGGATCCCATGATCTGACTTCTATATTCATAGAAATAGGTTGGGTTTTTTGGGACTAGGGATCAAACTCAGGACCTTGCGCTTGGGAGGCAGACACAATGCCACTGAGCTAAATCCCCGGCCCTCATAAAAATAGTTTTGCTAAACTTTCTAATAAGTAGTTATTTACCATGTAGTTCTAGCTCCTTCTCAGTAACATTTGACACTAACACTTACTTTTTGAAGTCGTCTGAAATCTTGGTTCTTGTGTTACTTTGGCCTGTTTCCTACAAGTAAGCCTTTAATACTGATAGTTCTCAAATTCTCTTTCTCTACTTTCTCTGATCCCCACTACCACCACCCCAGTACTAAGGTTGAATCCACTGCCTTCCAACTGAGCCATATCCCCAGGCCTCTCTTTCCTTTTTGTGAGATGGGGTCTCACTAAGTCCCTAAGTTGCCCAGGCTGGGCTTCAACTTGGAATCCTCCCACCCCAGCCTCCCACAGTGCTAGAATTACAGGTGTGCACCACCATGTCCAGCTTCTAATTACCTTTTGTTTCCTTGGTGATCTCTTCCATGTCCACCTATCCTGTGCCATAGAATATTTTAAAATTTTGTGCTGTCCAGTGGCGTAGACAACTGTACCATTGAGCTCACGTGGCTAGTGAGCATTTGAAATAGGAGCAATGTGCTGGAAGAACAGAACATTTAATTTAGTTAAATTTAAATGCCCTACCTGTATGTATTTTCCAGACAATATAAAATATAAGATTCTACAGCTCTTGGTAGCACAGGCCCCATTGGATCCTCTTCTCTAGCTGCCTGTCTATCTGCTCAACTACATACCCAATTATTTATCTTTTTTAATATCCCTAATCCATTTCTGTTGCCTTCTTTCAGGAAACCATTTGGATGTGACTCATGGGACTATTTTTAAAATATTTTATTGAAATAAAATACATATTATTGAATACACAAACCATAAATGTATACAGCTCATTACATTATATTAAAATGAACACACCCTGTAACCTTCACCCAGGTCAAGTCTTCAAAGAGAATATTCTAACATCCCAGAAAACCCTCTTCATGCTCCTTCTCAACCATTATTCATGCTCTACTTCCCACAGGTAGCCATTATTTTGGTTTCTAATACCAGATTATTTTGCTGGTTTTTGAACTCTGTGTAGATGGAACAATATGTCTGTATTGTTTGTCAACTGGCTTCTTTCTATCAATGGTATCCTTGTGTGTGTAACTATAGATCATTTTCATTGCTACTCAGTCGTATAAAAAAAACTACATACTTACCTATACATACTTATGCATCCTACTGTTGATGGACATTTAGATTATTTCCGTTCTGGGCTAAAACATTCTATTCTTTGGTGAACATGTGCACAATTTCTTTTTTTTTTCACAATCTCTTTTAAGATATTATGAAGTTCCTAATTGTAGATTTGCCAGGTTATTAGGCTCAGCTTTCGATGCTATCGCTCATGCTTCAAGGCTCATGTACCAATTTAAAGTCCTACAATCAATATATGACCATTTTAGCTGCTTCACAGCTGCACCAATACATTCTAGAAGTGCAGTGATTTAATTTGCATTTTCTTAATTATCAGTAAAGTTGAACACATTTCTATATTTTTGGACCATTTGAACATCCTTTTTATGATTTGTGATTTTAGCAATATAGTTATTCAACTCTCTTGCCCATTTTTTCTACCAAGTTGTGTGTCTTTCTCCTATTGATCTCTGTAAATTCTTTATACATATCTTCTGCTCCATTTTCTTTTTTTTTTCGTACCAGGGATCGAACTCGGGTCCTTGCGCTTGCGCAGCAGGCGGTGAAACCACTGAGCTACATCCCCGGGCCCTTTATACATATATTCTGAATACCACTGTTTGTTGGTTACATGTTTTACAAATATTTTCTCTCATTTTATGACTTTTCTTTTCACATTCTTAATGATGAAAAACTCCTTAATTTTAATGTAGTCCATTTTATGAGTCTGTATTGTTTTTGTGACTGGCTTCCTCTTATAATTATGTTGTTTTCTAAGTCAAGAACATTGTGTGTTTTTCTTTTTATTCAGATTTTATTGGATCTATTTTACCAGTATTTTGAAATCTTTTTCAGCATGTAGATTGTGTACATATTTTGTTAAACTTATACCCAAATATTTTATTTTTCCTTGATGCCATTATAATGGTATTTTGCTTTTAATTTTAGATTACATATTTTCATTGTTAATGTATAGAAATGCATTTTCTTGTGTATTGATCTTGTATTCTGCAAACTTGCTGAACTTATTAGGCCTAGGAAGTTTTAGTAGGTTCCATGAGATTTTTGTGCAGGTAATTATGTTGTCTAAAAGTAGGAACAGTTTTATTCCTTTCCAGTCAGTATATTTTTTATTTCTTGTTTTGGCCTTATTGAGCTTCCTAGAAGTTCTAGTACTCTGTTAAATAAGAGTGGTGAGAATAAACATCTTGCCTTATTCCCAAACCAGAAAACATTAGGTCTTTCACCGTTAAGTATGAGCTTGTTCCACTATGGTCAGAAACTATTTCCTAAATAATTTCTATTTGAATTTTGTTCTGATTTGATTATTACATAGCATATGATCTATCATGTAGTACTTGCCTTTCTGTAGCTGGATTATTTCACTTAACATAAAGACCTCCAGTTCCACTTACGTTGTTGTAAATGACAGGATTTCATTCTTTTTAGTGCTGGATCATACCACTGTGCATATATACCACATTTTATTTATCCATTCATCAGTTGATGAACACTTAGGTTGTTTCCATGAACATAGGATGTCTTTTCACTTTTATGTGTCCTTTTCAACTTTTTATCAATGTTTAATAATTTTTATACTGGATCTTTTGGCCCTTTGGTTAAATTTATTATTGGGTTGTTGTTGTTTGTTTGGTTTTTTTTTGGTAACTATTGAAAATGGACTTGGTCTCTTAATTTCTATTTCAGATAATTTGTTATTGATGTGTAGCAATGCTAGTGATTTTTGTATGTTGATTTTACATTCTGCAACTTTGATGTCATTTGTTAGTTTTAATAGTATTTTGGTGGAATCTTTGGGGGTTTTCCAAATATAAGTTCATGTCATCTACAGTGACAATTTGACTTCTCTTTTTTTTTTTTTACTTCTTTTTCAATTTAGATGGATTTTCTTTCTTCCTCTTGCCTGATTTTGCTAGCTAGAATTTCCAGTACTATGTTGAATAAAAGTGGTGAAAGTGTGACATCTTGGTCCTGTTTCAGATCTTAGAGAGAAAGGCTTCTGCTTTCCCCCGCTGAATATGATGTCACCTGTTGGCTTATTATAAATTATTATGTTGGGGTACATTCCTTCTTTACTAATTTGTTCAGCATTCTTATCACAAAAAGATGTTGAATTTTTTCAAATGCCTTTTTGTCATCTATTGAGATGACCAGATGTTTTTTGTCCTTTATTCTGTTCATGTGGTGTATCATGTTTATTGATTTGCATATGTCAAACCATCCTTGCATTTTTGGGATGAATCCCACTTAATCATAGTGAATAATCTAACATGGCATTGGATTTGATTTGCTAGTATTTTTTAAATTTATTTAGTTTGCCAGCATTTTGTTGAGAATTTTTTGCATCTGCATTCATTACAGACATTGGCCTGAAATTTCCTTTCTCTCTCCTTCCTTTCCTCTGTCCCTTCCTTCTTTCCTCAATCCCTCCCTCCCTCTCTTTCTGTTGTTGTTACTGTGTTCTTATCTTGTTTTGGTATCAGGATAATGCTGGCCTTGTAGAATGTGTTAGGAAGAATTCCTTCCTCTTCGATTCTTTGAACTAATTTAAGAAGAACACATATTAGTTATACTTTAAGTGTCTGGGAGAACTCAGCAGTGAAGCCATCTGGTCCTGGCAGAATTTTATTATTGATTCAATCTTATTATTTGTTATTTGTCTGTACAAGTTTTATATTTCTTCATGATTCAATCTGGGTAGGATGTATATATCCAGGAGTTTGTCCATTTCTTCTAGGTCATCAAATTTGTTGTCATATAGTTATTCATAGTAATCTCTAAGGATCTTTTATGTTTCTGTGGTGTCAATCAGTTATAATGTTTCCCTTTTCATATCTGATTTCATTTATTTGAGTCTTTTCTCCTTTTCTTTTTCTTTTTTTTTTTTAGTGCTGAAGATTGAACCTAGGGTCTTCATACTGAGTTACATCCCTAATCCTTTTTGGTTTTTTATTTTTTGAGACAAGGGCTCAGTATGTTACTATGTTGCTCAGTCTGACCTCAAACTTGCAATTTTCCTGCCTCAGTCCTCTTTTTTTAGTCTAGCTAAAGGTTTGTCAATTTTAACTATTTATGGTTCTTGAAGAAACCAAAGAGAAATGGGATTATGAGTCCACTTGTGCTACATGCTAAAATTTATACAACCATCTGCAGTTTATCAAGTATCAACCAAAACCCAAACAAATTAATACCAGCTTTACTTGTAATAGCCAAAGGCTGTCAATCAATAGAATGGAATACTACTCAACAATAAAAAGGAAACTGCTAATACAGAGTACAATGTGTACATCTCTATATAATTATGCTGAGTGAAAAAATACATGCTGTAGATTCTATATAACTATTTCTAAAATGAAGTTCCTAGATAGAAAAGAAAGAAGAGGTGAGAAAGGATATTAGGGGCCATAAAGCCACATTTGAGAGAATTAGATAGGTTGATTATCTTAATTGTGGTGATGGGTCCATGCATGTATGTATATGTATGTATGTATGTTCCAGTCCTTATCATTTCATCTATTTTTTTATTTCATCTATTTTTATAAAGGTATTATTTTAAATAGCTGAAAAAGTGAAATAGTTGATATATATATCAAACTATGTGCAGAATCTCTATGCTGAAAGGAATAAAACACTAAAGGAGGAAATCAAAGAAGGAAATTTTTATTTATGGTTATTATTTGTAAAAATTTCAAAAGGATACATTGATTTCTTATTGCCAGAAGGGCCACAGAGAACTTGGTGCTGATTTGACTGGGTTTGGCAGAAATAAAGACAAAGCTGTCAGATGTTGAGTCTAAAGCCTGGGTACTAGGAGGATGGGAGGTAGAGGGACAACTACAGATTTCATTTTATGTAATAGATTCTAAGCCTTGGGTAGAAATCTGGAATGCCTTTTGGGTACAAGATCTGAGACAGAATTGAGTTGTTCCTTCAGAGGAAAAAAGGGAAAGGTTTATTGCCTTTGTTTTCTCATTTTTATGGAAATAAAATACCAGCATCTTAAACAAAGAAGGCTGGAACTAGATCTGATTAATATTTATGGATTCCCCTCATAGAGCTGGCAATGAACATGAGGCACAAATCCTTTGTAACTTAATGGAAGAACCCCACCCCTATGTTGAGCCTCAATTTTCCCATTTTTAGAATAAAGAAAACAAACCTACCTCTGAGGATTGTTATGAAGATTCAGAGAACACAGTTTTTGGAACTTGCCTGGACAAAAAGTAGAAGCACAAATGCTGTCCTGTGTGATATCACACAATACACCCATTAGGTTGAAAGAAAAAAAAAGCTTTTCAAAAATAGACCATCTCAAGTGCATACACA